CAGATTTAAGTGAAATTTCAGTGAAGTATCACAAAAATAAATGAGGGAGACAGTGCTGCTGAGAATGACAGTAAGGGAAGTGAGAGGAGATGAAAGGGAAGAGGAAAGTAGGGTAAGGGGGAAATAGAAAACAAAGATGGTAAGAGAGGAAGGAAGAGATGATGGAGGACAGGAAGGAGGAGATCTGTTTCTCCCAACCCTGTTGAGCTGCCTCTCGTGGGGTTCAGCTCAAGACCCCTCAGCCCTCTGCCTTTGCGGTCCCAAATGCTTCATTGCTCTCGCTGTCTCTTGCTTCTTCAGGGATCCTGTATGTCAACAGGAGCCTGGACTTTGAGACAAGCCCCAAGTTCTTCCTGTCCGTAGAGTGCAGCCGGAAAGGCTCTTCCTCCCTCAGTGACATGACCACAATCGTGGTCAACATCACTGATGTCAACGAACACCGGCCCAGATTCCCCCAGGATCTGTACACCACAAGGGTCTTGGAGAACGCGGCCGTGGGTGACGTCGTGCTCACAGTAAGGATCTGCAACTTTGCCCTTTGGGAGGCATGGACTTGGGTGGGTTCTTATCTCCTCCTCCCCCAGATGTCTGTGAGCATGGGTTAGTTAATCAGTTTGTATACTATAGACTTGATTCTGACTTGTAGCCACTTGGCCAAACTGTTGCTCATGACAGAGGGTCTCAGGGCCATGTTCGGTAAGGTCTAGATCACGTATTGATAGAGTGGGGCATGGGAGAGGCCTTAGAGGGGGTCTCTGTCCAGAGGCGCCAAGGCCTGGGAAGGACCTGGTCACAGTGTGTGATGTGGAGACTCAGTGTGGGGGGAGGGGCACCAAATAACACTTCTTTGCATTCAAACATGTAATTGCTCCCTACTATATAGAGTGAAAACAAACTGTACGTCCATATTCAAAGTTGACCATGACCTCTCCTTATTCTGCCTTCTCGTCTTATCTCCTTCTACTCTCTGACATGTATCCTATGCTCCAACCACCGAAGAAGATGTGCCTTTCCCCAAACAGCCTCTGCACTTTCATACATTCTGGGCTCATGTCTGGAATGCTGGCTCCACTCCCAGAAACCCTTCTTATCCTTCTGGGACTCATGAATGCTTTGCTAATCTCCCCAGGTAGAATTTACCACTGTGTTCTCTGTGCTCTCATAAAGCTGATCACACTTTTCCTCAAATCAGAATGACCCATAACATTAGACATTAAACTTCCCGGTGGGCATATTCATTTTGGCATGCCCCTCACCTCCTAGTTCCGGACCTAGCATCCTGTCGGTATGAGTGAATGAGTACATGAATGAACCATGGCATGCTGAAATCTATACTACAATATAAAATGAAGAGATTCCTTTGGTAGGGATGACTGTGGCCCATGGGACTGCCACTCCGATGGCAATCATTGGAGGGGACACTCATCTGTTCCCTTTACACTCCCAGGGGCCAATATTCCCTCAGGTCCCTTTTGACCTCCATTCACAACTACCCTCCCACTGCTGCAGGTGTCAGCAACTGATGAAGACGGACCTGTAAATAGTGCCATCACGTACAGCCTGGTAGGAGGGAACCAGCTCGGGCACTTCACCATCCACCCCAAGAAGGGGGAGCTGCAGGTGGCCAAGGCCCTGGATTGGGAACAGGTGAGTCATGTGGGAGGGGCCCGACCCGAGCTCATCAGAGCAGAGGTATGGTCCCAGTGCAGGTCCAGAGAACTGTGGTCAGCACCCCATGCTGACTTCTCCAGACCTGCCCTCACTTGTTTTCTCTGTGTGGTCTCTGTGGCCTATGAGGCCGGAGGCAGGAGAGGGACTAAGTGACCCTTAACCTCCTTTAGAGGAGCTCAGGCTAGCTTCTTACTATTGACAAGGAGCCATTAGATAATAAACCAATAGTAATAAATCAATAATAAATTCTTGTTTATTGAGCACCTGCTCTGTGACAGGAACTTTGCTAAGTGCTTTACATACATTTGGTCCTTAAAATAATCCTAGGGCGTGGGTCCCAATAATCTCACAGATGTTTAGTCACCTTCTCCACGTCTCACAGCTAGGAAATGGTTCAAGTGGAAATCAAACCTATTTCTTCCTGCCTCCAAAACCTGGACCCTGAAATAGTATGTACGGGCAATGGAGGCAGGCATAGCGGAGCATCTCCATCTTATTTTGGGGAAAACATTAGCGATGAGTCATGGGGCAGAACTGAGGGGTCTTGTTGCTAACTCTCTATTGGCATCTTGCTATACAGACTTCTAGCTATTCCCTGAGGCTCCGAGCCACAGACAGCGGGCGGCCCCCACTGCATGGGGACACAGACATCGCTATCCAAGTGGTCGATGTCAATGATAACCCGCCGAGGTTCTTCCAGCTCAACTACAGCACCTCCGTCCAGGTACGCTTGAGCTTCCAAAGACATCTTGAAGCCTTCCTGCCTTCATCTCCCTCCTAGTGGAGGGTGCTCACCACTGATATCAGTTCACCCAAACATGGGCTGTGACCTTGCCAACTGATATCCCTAATGGCAACACAGCCTGCAAAAGGGGACTATGAATTACAGCATTAACAAACAATTGGGCAATGTGCCAGGCACTTGCACATCCATTACCCCATTTGGGACCTGCATAGCTGCAGGAAACAGGTAGTACGGTAACCACTGCCCCCCGCCCCCTTATTCGTGGTTTTGCTCTCTGTGGTTTCAGCCAGGCTGACCCCTAGTCAGTCACGGTCCAGAAGCTGGTGATCCCCTTCTGACATATCATCAGAAGGTCAGTAGTAGCTTAATGTACATCACACAGGCTGTGTGCTTATGTCGTTCATCTTACGTCACTTCATCATGTAGGCATCTTACTATCCTCACATGGTCACAAGAAGAAGGGTGAATACAGATACTTAGAGAGAGAAAGAGAGACCACACTCACATAACTTTTATTAGAGTATATTGTTATAATTTTCTATTTTATCATTAGTTATTGTTGTTAATCTCTTATTGTGCCTCATTTATAAATGAAACTTTATCACAGGTATGTATGTATAGAAAAAAATCCCAGTATATACAAGGTGTGGTTACTATCCATGGTTTTTAGCATCCACTGGGGATGTTAGAACATATCACCAAGGATAAGGAGGCCTACTCTGTCCACTTTACAGGTTTTTAAAATGGAGGTGCAGAAATGTGCCATTGTTAGAATGTGGCAAATCTGGGATTTAAACGCAGAAGATTTTCCAGATCTCATGCTATTTTCATCATACTGATGGTTTACAAATGGGATTTGAAGAGGGCCTAGGGATTCACCGGGGAATTGTGACCATAAGAAGTGAGGGAGGTGAGGACGAGGATAAGACGGCAGAATCATGGGTCCTGCTATGTATCAGCCAGAGTTATTCACTTGTTTGTGTATTATGAGTATTAGGTAGGATGCTGTGACTGCCAATAACAGATTATCTGACTAAAACCTTGTTTAATAATAAAGATTTATTTCATGTAACAAAAGGTATGATGGTGGGAAGTTCTATTCCAGAATTGGTTATTTCACCAGAAAAACAGTATCACAGCTTTGAGCTAGCTTCTTTGAAATTCCCTCACCTTCTTTCTCATGGTTACAAAATGGCTGCTGCAGCTCCAGCATCACATCCTTGTCTAACCATCTTCAAAGGCAAACAGAAGGGGACTTCCCCCCACTCTGTTTTTAGCAAAGAAGAAAACTTCTTAAAACCCTCATCTGGTTGACTTCTCCAATGATCAGAATCAGATTACGTGATCAACATTAAACCAAAAACTGGCACTTGAAATCAGATTTTATAACTGACTTACACCAATCATAGTCCATCTCTTCTTAATAAGGACACAACTTTTCTGAGATACGGCCACCCCACACCTGAACAAAAGTCAGGTTTTGTAAGAAAGGAAGGAAGGAATGTCTATTGGATAGGCAACCATTAGTTTCTGTCCATCGGATTTCTGTTCATAGATAGGATTTTGTTGCAAAAAGATAGTGAACCACCACTGTGTTATAGATACTGAATTCCCATGTTATGGAGCAAAGACTGGAACAGTACCCAGGAAATCTATTTTTTAGTTGAATTCCTACGCGTTTTTAAATGTTCTCATTGAGTGGCTGTTCCATTGGTCTTCTAAACAGGAAACCATTTATAAGTGTTCAGTTGACCCTACGAATCCCAAAATTTCCACGTGGATCCCAGGCGCTTACGAATTTATATACGTGAATCGTCAGCTGTGTGAACTTGCACAAGTCACCTTCTGTAGGATAAGGGGACCCTAGGGACCCTTCTGGCCTCCAAGGGCTTTGTTTCTAAGACCCAGCACCGCCCTCAGGAAGCTCTTGGTCAAGATTGGCGGAGCCAACAACTAATTCAGAGGCTGGCAGAATGAATGAATGAATGAATGAATGAATGAATGAATGAATGAATGACAGCTCAAGGTCCAGGCATGGCCTGAGAGTAGCCAGAGTGCTGAGGACTTAGCCCAGAGGAGGGGACCCAGAAAGATGCAAAAGGAAGGACTGGAATTCATTTTGCTCTTTGATTTCTTGTCACTCTCTGTCTCAGGAGAACTCACCCATTGGCAGCAAAGTCCTGCAGTTGATCCTGAGTGACCCAGACTCCCCCGAGAACGGCCCCCCCTACTCATTCCGAATCACCAAGGGGAATGATGGCTCTGCCTTCCGAGTGACCCCTGATGGATGGCTGGTGACCACCATGGGCCTGAGAAAGAGAGTCCAGGAGTGGTATCAGCTTCAGATCAAGGTAAGAGCTGTGTTGGGCCACTGGTGGTGACCATGGGGACAGCAGTGTGCTGGCAAAAGCACTGTCAGTGCTCCTATTATTAGGGGGAAGTGTACAGAGCTCTCACTAGGTGCTGGGCCCTGGGTTAAGTTCTCCACGGGTCTCATTGCATTAAATCCTCGCAATGGGCTTTAGGGCAGGTACAATTACCACCCCCGCTTTACAGATGTAGCAACTGAGGCACAGGGAGCTTGAGCGCCTGGCTTAAAGCAATACTGCTAATAAGTGGCAGAGGGGGGTTGCTCCAGACCAAACACTCTGACCCTAGAGCCTAAGCTCTTAATTCCTACACTGCCTCCAGGCAGAACCATACCCTCACTCTGGCTCTAACTTCCTGAGCCAGAACAGCTCTCTGAACCTCACAGAAATTGGTGTGGGGTCCAAACTGGAGAACATATATACGTGTGAAGGGGATTACGGTGATGTTGCAAAGGGCAGCCCGAGAACAGCCAAAGTAAAGTTGTCAAGATGGTGGCTAAACGTTTCTTCTTCATTTAATTCCCTCAAAATCCCTTTCTTAAATCTCAAGTCACAGTGGATCCTATTGTGCTGTGAACTTCTTCCCTGGGATCAGGATGATGGATCCATCCATTCATCCAGCCAGCCGGTCCGTCATTCACTGAGTCTTTGAACAACTATTGAGCACCCATCACGTGTCAGCCCCTATGCTTGCTGCTAGTAATGTAGCAGGGGGAAAGAAGGGGGTGGTCCTCATGGGCTTTTGATTCCAATCACGGAGATAAACAATAAACAGATGAAGAAAGAAAGTGATGAGAGGCTCACAGGGCACAGGGGAGACATATTCAGAGGATGGCTGCCCTCACGAGGAGGGGACCTTTGAGCTGGGACCTGAGAAGTGAGCTGTGTGAAAATGGTCAGGAAAGTGTCACAGGCAGGAACAAGATGAGCCAATGTCTCAAGCCAAGAGTTCAAGCTCTGGAACAAGCGCTTGAAGTGGCCTCAGATGGAGCTAATGTGGTCGGCGTGGTGATCTATAATGGGAATAAGCTGAAGACATGGGGTGGCTGGGTCACGGAGGTCTCATAGCTTGGGTGACCATATACGTGAGGTCCAAACTGCGACGCTCTTGAGAGGGAGAGAGGCACTAAAAACATTCATTGGCGATCATTGAGCCACAACAGGATCAATTAGTGAAAATCAAGACTGACCCGGGCAAACCAGAAAGTACAGCCAATCCTAACTATAAGCCTTGGTATTACTTTCATTACTACTTCCAATCCCAGCTGGAGCCAATGGTGCTGAAACCTTGAGCTGATAATGAAGACGCAGGGAGTGGATAGATTAGGGACAAGCTCTGCATGGAAATAAACAGGAGTTGGTGATAGATTGGAAACGGGGGGGGGGGGCGGGAGAGAGAAGAATCAGGGGTGACTCCCAGGTTCCTGGCTCCAGTGAAGACTGGGTGGTGGGGCCACTTATGAGGCTGGAAAGATGGTGGGGTGGGGGAAGAACAGGTTTATGGGGTAAAGTGAGGATCCTGTTTTGCACCGGTCACCTTTCAGGTGCCCATGAGACATCTAAGTGTCCAGCAGGTCGTTGGGAATGAGAATCTGCAGCTCAGCACACAGGTGTGGGCTAATGTAGAGGGTTCTGAAAGCTCAGGGCATGGACATGACTGCCTAGGGAGAGATGAAAGAGAACAGCTTCCTGAACTCTGTTTCTTGACCCAGACAATCGCTCGGTAACTATCAACATCACCATCTCCTGCATTTGTCCTGTATTTCCACTTTCGTTCACTGGGAGGTACTAGAGGCCAGCAAAAAAAACGGGCTATGGACCCAGGTAGGAGTTCAGATTCTGCTCGGGACTTAACCTGCTGTGTGACCTTCGGCGAGTTACTTGACCTCTCTGAGCCTCAGTTATACCTGCTGTAAAATGGGAGATTTCGTGGCATCTATCTCGTAAGAAAGGCGAGGGTTTGGGTTAGTGCTGATATGCTATCTCATATATGCATCGGAAGCATTTAAAAGTGACTGGCACACAGTTTTGCTCACAGTGGTGCCAGCTGTATGTTATACTTAGCAGTGGTCTTAACTACTCTCATTGCTATTGATGACCTCATCTGTGTTATGCACAAATCCCAGTAGTAGGTGTCATTTCACAACCTTCTCCCCCCATTCAAAGCACCGGAATAAGATACGACTCTGGAGAAAGTCGTGGAGGCCCTGGGCTGACAGCTGTGAAAATGATAACGTCCCTGAGGAGAGGAAGGATACTTGGTTCTTGCTAATCTGGACACAAAGTTGCAGGGATGCTTGGCAAAACGTGAAAGGAAAAAGGCATTTTTTATTTACATTCTCTTCCTTGCTTAACTGAGGTCACGGCATGGCCTTGTTAAAACCTTCGTGGCTTTTCATGACTCTGACATAAAACCTGACCTTGTGCTCCTCAGCCCGTAAGTGACTGGGCGGCCTCCCTCGAGCCCTCCTCTGCCCTCGGCCCTGCCCACTCGCTCCAGCAGCCGGGGCCCCTTTCTGCTTGGTGGAGCTCGTCACGCTCTTTCCACCCGAGGGCTTGACGCTTGCTGTTCCCTGTGTCACCTGCTCTTCTCACCTGTCCTCACCCCTCAGGACTCAGCTCCTCAGAGATGCCTCCCCTCCCACCTGATCTTCACTCTTCACATCTCTTTCAGTCTTCACATCTCTGCCCCATGCTCCGGTGATTTCCTCCGAGTCTGACATTCCCTTGTGTATTTAGTGATGTATCTATTGTCTCTGGCCCGGGGAAAGGACTCAGCGAGTATCTGTTAGCTGAGGGACAAAGGCCCACTCCAACCCCAATCACATAGTAAAGGGGTGTCCAAGGAGAACCTCCTTAGGCTGACAGGGACCACGAAGGATGCACATAGGAATCACAAAGAGACATGTGATGCGTCGCTTAAGGAAGGAGACAGGGGGCACCTGGTGGCTCAGTCGGTTGACATCCGACTTCGGCTCAGGTCATGATCTCGCGGTTCGTGAGTTCGAGCCCCGCGTCGGGCTCTGTGCTGACAGCTTGGAGCCTGGAGCCTGCTTCCGATTCTGTCTCCCTCTTCCTCTGCCCTTCCCTGCTGGCGCTCTGTCTCTCAATAATAAATAAACGTTAAAAAATTTAAAAAAAGGAAGGAGACAGAACGAGGGACGTTGGAGAGGAAGGAGGCTCGCGTTCGAGTGGCCAGAGAGATTTAGGAAGAGGCTCGGAGAGATGTCAAATGAGGAAAGGGAGCTCAGCTTTACCATGTGGTAGGGGATGGAACTCCCTCCACAAAACCTCCAGTGCGTTTGGAGTCCTTGTTTTCTTTTTCACCTCTGACAGCGCGTTGAGCCTGCCCCCTGAGCGGAGAGACCAGGCTGCCCAAGGAGGCCCGGCCTGGTCTGGGCCACCGCCAGCTGCAGCCCATGGTGACGGCAGTGCCTGTTCTGTCCACAGGTGTCAGACAGCGGCATCCCTCCCCTCTCGTCCTCGACGTCCGTCAGAGTCCACATCACGGAGCAGAGCCACTACCCACCCTCGGCCCTGCCACTGGAGATCTTCATCACCGTCGGGGAGGAGGAGTTCCAGGGGGGCATGGTGGGCAAAATCCACGCCACGGACCGAGACCCTCAGGACACGCTGACCTACAGCCTGGCAGGAGAGGAGACCCTGGGCAGGCACTTCTCAGTGGGCGCAACTGATGGCAAGATTATCGCCACCCAGGGCCTGTCTCGCGGCCGCTATGCTTTCAACGTCACCGTCGATGACGGGACCTTCGCCACCACTGCCGGGGTCCACGTCCACGTGTGGCACGTGGGGCGGGAGGCTCTGCAGCAGGCCCTGTGGATGGGCTTCCACCAGCTCACCCCGGAGGAGCTGGTAAGTGACCACTGGAGGAACCTGCAGAGGTTCCTCAGCAACAAACTGGACATCAGACGAGCTAACATCCACCTGGCCAGCCTTCAGCCTGCAGACACCACGGCTGGGGTGGACGTGCTCTTGGTCTTTGAGGGGCATTCCGGAACCTTCTACAAGCTCCAGGAGCTGGCATCCATCATCACTCGCTCGGCCGAGGAGATGGAGCAGTCGGTGGGAATTCAGATGAGGTCAGCCATGCCCGTGGTGCCCTGCCAGGGCCCGCGCTGCCAGGGTCAAAGGTGCCAAGAGACGGTGCACCTGGACCCCAGGGTGGGACCCACCTACAGCACAGCCAGGCTCAGCATCCTGACCCCGCGGCACCGCCTGGAGAGGAGCTGCTCTTGCAATGGTGAGTGATGGGCTTCTCCAAGACACCCAGCACTGCGGGGCTCAGCCAGACTGGCTCTGGGGGTGGAGATCCCAGGGAGGCCCAGGGGGGTAGTGAGAGGGGGGTTTTAACAGGGCTAAAGGCCACAGTCCACAGGCCACCGCGAGACAGGTGGCAGCCTCCCCAAATCTAGTCATGGAACAGCACCCCATTCCCGGCCACTTTTTGGAGTTTTGAAAATAACAGTCAGGAATCAAGAGGCAAGTAAGTAGCATGATGGCTAAGAGCAGACTCTGACATCAGACTGCCTGGGTTTGAATCCCAGCTCTGCCACTTGCTCGCCAACTAACCTTAGGAAAATGATCTAGCCTCTCCGTGCCTTTGGGCGGTTAGAGGAATTAAATGAGTGTTAAATGTCAAGGGCTTGCTAAAAAAAAAAAAAAGAACCAAATAGAAATGAAAAAATAAAATAAAATAAAAATAACAAATAAGGGGCACCTGGGTGGCTTGGTCAGTTAAGCGTCCGACTTCGGCTCGGGTCATGATCTCACGGTCTGTGAGTTCGAGCCCCACGTCGGGCTCTGTGCTGACAGCTTAGAGCCTGGAGCTGCTTCGGATTCTGTGTCTCCCTCTCTCTCTGCCCCTCCCCTGTTCATGCTCTGTCTCTGTCTCAAAAATAAATAAATGTTAAAAAATAAAATAAAATAAAAATAACAAATAAGTATCAAGGGCTTGCTTAGAAAAGTGCCTGATAGGGGCGCCTGGGTGGCTCAGTTGGTTAAGCCTCCGACTTTGGCTCAGGTCGTGACCTCACGGTTTGTGGGTTCGAGCCCCGCGTCAGGCTCTGTGCTGACAGCCCAGAGCCTGGAGCCTGTTTCAGATTCTGTGTCTCCCTCTCTCTCTGCCCCTCCCCTGCTCATGCTGTCTCTCTCTCTCTCTCTCTCAAAAATAAACATTAAAAAAAAAAGTGCCTGACATACAGACAGTGGTCAGTAAACACGAGTTACTGCTACTTCTTCTACTGTTATTACTGCTACAGCGTGGTGCTTATAATCTCAAGATTTAGACTAGACAGCTCAGGTTCAAACCCCAGCTCCACCTCTTGCTATCTGTGTGACCTTAGGTGGGTTGCCAAATCCTCTGAACTGTAGTTTCTCAACTATAAGGTAATGAAAATATTACCATCTGCCTTCTGGAGTAGGTTTGGGGAGTAAATTATTTAATGGATATAAAAGCACTTAACCTTTGTCAGGCCCATCATAAGCACCTCGTTGCACACGGTGGCGGCGGTTGCTAGAAGGACTCTGCTATGCGCCAGGCACTACGTTACCTGAACTGACTGCCACCAACACCCTGAGAAGCAGGGTCACCAGATCCAACTACAGTGGAAACTGAGGGATGGGGATTGTGTTGGTTTGCTCGACGCTGCACAGCCTCCAACGAAGGGCTGGTTACTTAAATAGCCATGTGTCCTACTCTAAAGCTTGAGCTCTTTACCGCAACCCACAGGAAGTTAGTTTTCTGATTAGACTCAACTCCAGCACCCCTGGCGTCAAGAATCGGTGCTCTGGACCCGCTTGGGGATGTTGGCAAAGGGAAACGGCATCGCCTCCCCTTCACCATCGCCCCCTGCCTGGCCTGGCCTACCTTTATGGGTCTCCCCAGTTTGCATTAGGGAAATTCTTTCTCCAAAGATTTGTGGGCTTTTTCTAGGTCCCACTGTATTCAGGCTGGGTGAGCTACTCTGGGTGGGTGCGGGAGGGAAGGGTTTCCCTTCTGTGTCTCTTGCCCCAGGGTTGCCTGCAGGGAACGCTGTGCTGGCCGAAGGTTCTCATGCGGTCACCTGGCACCAGACAGCGGAGGTTCTAAAATTCATGCTTATTCAGAATCATCTGGGGAGTGTGTTTTTAAAGAGAACTGCTCCTGCGTATCACCTCCAGAGTCTGTTATTCAGAAAGTCTTGGGTGAGGCCTAGAATTGGCATTTTTTAAATAAAGTTTTTAGGGGCGCCTGGGTGGCTCAGTCGGTTGAGCGGCCGACTTCGGCTCAGGTCACGATCTCGCGGTCCGTGGGTTCGAGCCCCGCGTCGGGCTCTGTGCTGACAGCTCAGAGCCTGGAGCCTGTTTCAGATTCTGTGTCTCCCTCTTTCTCTGACCCTCCCCCGTTCATGCTCTGTCTCTCTCTGTCTCAAAAATAAATAAATGTTAAGCTGAGGGTTGATGGGGGGTGGGAGGGAGGGGAGGGTGGGTGATGGGTATTGAGGAGGGCACCTTTTGGGATGAGCACTGGGTGTTGTATGGAAACCAATTGGACAATAAATTTCATATATTGAAAAAATAAATAAATAAAATAAATAAATAAATGTTAAAAATAAATAAACAAATAAAGTTTTTATTTTAATTCCAGTACAGTTGACATACTGTATGTGTTACATTAGTTTCGGGTGTACAATAGAGTGATTCAGTAATTCTATACATTACTCAGTGCTCGTCATGATAAATGTATTCTTAATGCCATCCCCCTATTTCTCCCATCCCTCCCCCCACCTCCCCCCTGGTAAACTTCAGTTTATTTGCTACAGTTTAAAGTCTGTTTCTTGGTTTGTCTGTCGGTCTCTCTCATCCTCTCTCTCTCTCTCTCTTTTTCCTTGGAATTGGCAGTTTTAAACAGCATCTCAGGTAGTTCTGAAGCAGGTGGTCCAAGGTCTACGCTTGGAGAAATATTAGAGAGGCTGGCTCACCAATCACCAGAATCAATTAGGGTTGTGTTGTTACTTCTTAAAACATTTTGGTGAAATGCGGCACACAGAAGGATCCATGGACCCCTTGTACAGCCCAACTAGTTTTCACAAACCAAACACACCCGTGTAACTAGCACCTGTATCAAGGATCACTTCTCGGGAACCTCCCTTGTCTCCCTTCCAGTCGCTACACCCATCGTGGGGAGGTTTTTTTAAATGCAGACTCTCGGGGCGCCTGGGTGGCCCAGTCCGTTAAACGTCCAACTGTTGGTTTCGGCTCAGGTCACGATCTTGCGGTTTTGTGAGGTCGAGCCCTGCTTCGCCCCTTTCTGTGCTGACAGCGCGGAGCCTGCTTGGAATTCTCTAATTCTCTCCTTCCCTCTCTTTCTGCCCCTCTCCCCCCTCACTCTGCCTCTGTCTCAATCAAAATAAAAATATACACTTTATAAATAAATAAACAAAACGCAGATTCTCTTGTTCCTCCAGAACTACTGAGTCATACTCTCTGAGGGTAGAGCGTGGCATTCTGTATTTTAAAACTCTCTCCAGCTGGTCCTGATACTCAGCCAGGTCTGAGAATTCCTGATCTGCATCGTCTTCAACATCCCATTATGCCATAATGACCTACTACAACGGAATTGCCAGCATCAGAGAGTCTTAGACTTAGAGTACAACAGACTCTTAGGATCTTGAAATGCCATGTGCCTCAGGCTTTCTGGTTCTTCCTTCTCCTCTTGGCTTTTATTCTCTCTCTTCAACAATCTGGGAGATCTGGGGCCTATGCAGCTGCTCCCCTTGCTGGACAACTGATAAGCTTATCCACACTGAGGTTTTAGGGATTCAACAACTGAACTCACTTCTGGGGAAGGTAGTAATCTGTATAATGTAGCATTTCCCAAGGCAGGCCCACACAACGCTATTTCCAAGGGCTTTGAATAGGTGGTCCACATAAGAGGGTCCCCTGGTCAAACAAGCAGGAGAAACTCAAGTTTAAGTGAAGACTCCTTACTCTGCAACTGTGTGTTACCAATTGCTACAGGGCGACGTGCGTGCAGGACTTTACAGAAGTTTGGGCCCTTCCCTTAATCGAAGGGTCCTCTCCACCTCTCACAGTGCTTCATATGGTTAAGAGCTTACTCAAATGGTTACCTTCCTAATGGTGAAGGAGAGATCCTGAGGCAAATGACCTTTGTGGTATTCCTGAAATCACATATATATGCAGAATCCTCTCCAATTCTACCTCCTTCTTCCCCCAGTGATGTCAAAAATAACACAGAAACTATGTAGGGTAGAAATTTTCATGTCCACACATTTCATTGGTTACATTTCCAGCTTGATTCTTGCTTTCTTACTGGTTTGGGCTCACAGTTTGAGGGACCCAAGGCAAGAGTTTCTGGGGCCAAAAGAAAGCGTGCAAGGTGATGGCCCATGTCTAGCTGCATGGCCCTGGACAAGTAACCCCCCACCCCCAAGAAGCCTCATTCTTTCATCTATAAAATGTGAGCAATGTCACCCAAGGGTTGAATGAGACAAAGTCAGCTCGGGGACTCCAAGGGGACCTCTTCATAAGGAGTTGACATCTCTGGTTGCTTCTCCAGGTACCGCCACAAGGTTCAGCGGTCAAAGCTTTGGACGGTACCGTCTTCCAGAGGCCCAGAACTGGCACATCCGGTTCCGTCTGAAAACACTCCAATCACGGGCTGTTCTCCTGTTCAGCAACGAGACAGTGTGTATCTCCCTGAAGGTAAGGCACTACAGCCTGAGGGATTTCACGTGGGTGTGCCAGGCTGTTGGGGGGCAGCAGGGGGAAGAGCCAAGAAGCCCAATTTCTGGCAAAAAAAATCCTGCATGGTTTTCAGGGATGATAGTGTGACTACTGAGTTAAGATGCAAGGCCTTCCACTTGTGAAGGCCAAAGCCCCCAACCTGGAGATCTACATCCAAGGACAACCAGAGGTCAGACTGCTCTGTGGGAGGAGAGGGAGCCTCTGAAGATAGAGGGAGAAATGGATGAGGCCACCTGGCCAGGGTGGTTTTTTGTTTGTTTGTTTGTTTGTTTTTGTCACTTTTGCTGCGTAACAGACAAGTGTTTCCCAAGATGGGTGGGAGGCTGGCTACACCAAGGTGCTCAAGGCTACAAACCCAGCATTAAGTTACATGGACTCACATGGAAGAAAAGTGAATTCTTTCAGCCCCTCTGATTACATCTCATAGGACATCTCAGTTTGCCTGCCTCCAACACTCAAGCCAATCTCCCAGGTTGACAAAGAAAAAGACTTTGGCAGCTAGTTAGAAATTATTATGCCATAAACATTTAGTGACCATCTACCTAGTGACAGGCACTGTTCTAGATGCTTGAGTCTCATTGGTGAATAAGACAAAAATCTCTCTCAGAGTTTTCACCCTACAGGGGGAAGACGGACAATAAATATAAATATAATGGCTCAGAAAAGTATAGTTTGTCCAAATGTGATAAGTGTATTGACTTAAAAAAAAAGGATAAGGGGGATCAGGAGGGTGGGGAGGGGGGTTGCAGTTTTAAGTAAGGTGATCAGGGAAGGCTTCACTGAGTTGATAAGTGAACCATAATGTGAAGGGGGTTAGGGTAGACATCTGGAGGAACAGCGTTCTAGGGAGAGGGAATAGCAATGCAAAAACCTTTTGGTAGGAGAATGCTTAGCATGTTTAAGGAACATCCCAGACATTAGTAGTAGGAGTCGAAGTCAGATATATAATGGGATGAGGGAATACCTATAAAGTTCTCATAGGCCACTTAAGGGCTTCAGCTTTTATTCCAAGCAAAATGGAGGGCATAAGAAGGTTTGAGCAGAGAATTGACATGATGTGATATATTCAAAAGGGTCGCCATGGCTCTGGTTGATAAGCAACTTTAGAGAAACAAGGATAAAAGCAGAGGGAACCAGCCAAGAGCCTATTGCAATAATTCAGGTGAGAGATGGTGGTGGTCTAGATCAGGGTAATGACAGTGCAATGGGAGGAAGGGTTCAGAATCGGGTAGATTTTTGAAGGTAAAGCCAACAGGATTTCCTGACGAACTGAATGAGGGCTGGGAGAGAAAGCAAGGAGTAAGTTTCAGCCTGAGTAACTAGAAGGAATGGAGTGGCTGCCAACAGACCCTGGGAAGGCTATGGGTAGAACAGGTTTGGGGAAGATTGATAGCTCAGATTTGGAGGTGTAAGTCTGAGATGTCTATTGAACTTCTAAGTGGAGCTGGATAAACAAGTATAGTGTCTGTGAGAAAGGTCTGGGGTAGAGATGAAGATCTGGGAGCATTCGGCATATACTCAGTATCAAAAGCCATGAAACTGAGTGAGATCACCAAGGAGTGTAGATTGGAAAAAAGATTAGACCAAGGATTCATCCTTGTGACACTTCAACATCGAGAGGCCTGGGGGAAGAGGAGGATCCAACAAAGGAGACTGAAAAGGTGCAGCCAGTGACGTGGGGGGAAACCAAGAGTATCGTATCCAGGAAGCTGAATGAAGAACACGTATCATGAAGGAAGGAGGGACCAGCTGGTAATGTGCTGCTCTGAGAGGTTAAATGAGATGGGAAGTGATATTAATCATTGGATTTGACAACACAGAGGTCACTGAATACCCTGAAACCAGTGGTTTCTGTATCATGGTGGATGGTGGGTGGAATTTTGCTACAAAGAGGGAGCAAAGAAAGTGATATCTCATGGGAGAAGTGGGTTCAAGACATTTTTTTTTTAAGATTAGAGCAATAACAGCATTTTTGTGATGACTGGAATGGTACAGTAGAGAATGAACAATTTGTGATGTAGAAAAAAAGAAAGAGTTGATGGAAACTCATCCTTGAGGAGGTAAGGGGGTTGTGATCTAGTGCATGAATGGAGAGACTGGCCTCCACCAAGGTGGGGAGATGTGATGGTAAGAGTGCCGATAAGTCCCAACCTGGTTGCTAAGAGCAAGGATGGGGAGGGGGAATCAGGAGTCTCAGGAGGGAGAAGTTGTGAGAATAGTCATCTGGGAGAGTAAACCGACTATGGAAGATAGCACCATAATTAGGCACCATGAAGGGCTCATTTGAGACTCACGGTCATGAAATTAAAGAGAGGTCAATAAGCAAGCCTGAATGTTTTTCTCCAGCCATGTTTACCTCCATGATGCTCACATACAGTTGGGGGACGGTTGGACTTTACCAGATTTGTGGGTTTGCCAAGTGACTTCTACCAAGAAAGAGAGGACAGGAACTTGGCTATGGAATTTAAACTGGATAAGGAGACAAGTGAGGACCTTACTGAGGTCGAGAGACAATGGAAAGATGATGGGACCAGTAGATTTGTGGTCCCAACCAAGTGAAAGGAGTGATTTAAGGACAATGTTTTGAGTCTACATTCTGTAGTAATAGTAAGTTTCCTTTTCAAGTATATAACAGTATAGGTAGGGCAACAATTGGGAAAGTGGGGTACAAACAAGCAGCTACTTTCTATAAAACACTGGATTGGATTTTCAAATTTCACCCAGAAAAAGTTCTACACAGCCGAGTAAGCAGAAGTTCTATCTCTTGGCCACAGTAGTCCTATTTCTTGGGCTGAGGTAAACTAAAATGATTTAACCTAGTGTTTTCTCAGATTTCTTGATTTCAGGACTTTTCACACTCTTAAAAATAATTGAAGATCCTAGGGAAGTTTTGTTTATGTGGGTTACGGCTATCACTATTTTCAGTATTAGAAATTAAAACTGAGAAATGTTAAAATCTTTATTTATTAATTCATTTAAAAAGAGGGGCGCCTGGGTGGCTTAGTCAGTTAAGCGTCTGACTCTCAGTTTCAGCTCAGGTCATGATCTCACTGTTCGTGAGTTCAAGCCTCACATCAGGCTCTGTGCTAACACTGTGGAGCCTGCTTGGGATTCTCTGTCTCCCTCTCTCTCTGCCCCTCCCCTGCCCTCTCTCTGAAAAATAAATAAACTTAAAAAAAATAAAAATAACAAGAAACTTATTACATGTTAACACAAATACCATATTTTTGTGAATAATAATTACATTTCCAAAATTAAGAAAAAAAAAGAGAGTGGCATTGTTTTACATTTTGCATATCTCTCTTACACATGTATGGCTCAACAGTAGGCAGCTGGATTTTTAGATGTACCTCTGTGTTCATAAGTTGTGGTAGCACATGTCTGGAAGTCTCCACCGTATATTCGTGAGAGAATGAGAAGAGAAAAGGCAAATAATGTCTTAGGAATATTATAAAAATGGTCTCCCTCTGTGGATCCTCTTGAAAGGTCTTAGAGACCTACTTTGATTACAGTGGAACTGTTGAAGAAGGGGGGGCGGTGAGGGAGGTTTTTGGTGTCCCTGAAGGCCAATGTTGAGGAATGTACTACAAAGGCCTGCAAAGAAGAATCCAAAAGACACGGTCTCAGTCAGCAAGGTATCTCTGGGCCTCAGTTTCCTCATCTGTGAAAGGAGATGCCATCCCTACCCAGATCATCCATGGAGTGTGGTAAGGGCCAAATGAGACCATAGACAGAAAAGTTCTTTGAGGGCTTTTATACTCCACAAAGACAATGTCTAAAACAGCCTTAAAAGCCACCAAACGCTACCTCCCTGACCCATGAAGACACAGCCGACATTCTTTGCCCGGGCAGCTTGTTAGCAGTGCTCTTCCAAGGACTTCTTGGTTTTGCTGATGGCATCTGGGCTTTCTTTGCAGCTGGTCGATGGAGTGCTCCAGCTGGAATACCATTGCCCAGGTGGTTTCTATGGAAATCTTTCCTCCTGGCTCCATGTGAATGACCAAGAGTGGCACTCCGTTGTGGTGGAGGAGACAGACACTTCCCTTCGCCTCTTGGTTGACAGATCCAGCGACACCTCCCTCATGCTCCCAAAGAACTGCCGGGGTCTCAGGCCTGAAGGGGACCTCTTTCTGGGTGGCCTTGTTCTCTTGCGTTCTTCCCCAAATGTGTCCCAGGGCTTCGAAGGCTGCCTGGATGCAGTTGTGGTCAACGGAGAGGCACTGGAGCTGCTGGTCCATGGCAAGAAGGCATCAGGCTTGCTGGAAAGGCAGGCCCTCACCCAGTGCTGCGTGCACAGTGATGACTGCAGCCAAAACCCATGTCTCAATGGCGGAAGGTGCTCACAGACCCGTGGGGCAGGTAAGGGCTGGAAATGACTCCAAGGCTTATCCCAGGAGGCTCTTCAGAAGACCCTAGCCTGTTGACCTAGCAATCATATATCACTGAAGAGTTTACAAAGTATGTTCCTTCAGCACAGCGCCATGAGGGAGAGAGGGCGTTGGAACAAAGTCACCAATGACTCCACTTTACAGCACAGGAAACTGCTGGGTTGTGTAAGGGGTACCCAGATTGGTGAAAGGCACATGGCTGTCAGGGGAGAGAGGCATGTTTGGGGTGTAGATCCCAGTGGAGCACTCCTGCCCTCTGATTCCAAACGTCTCTCTCCTCCCCTTACTATCTCTTGAGTAACGGGTTGGGATCTGCTAGGTTTACACCACGGGGAGGCAGGAGTCTTTGTTCTTCCTCAACAAGGACTGACTTGTTCGGATGAGACAGGCACTAACAGGGACCTCTGGTGCCACAGGTTGAGTTCATCATACACCGTAGGGTTAACATTGGTCGGTGCCAAGTTTCTCTTTTTTATTGCCTTTTAATCTATACTCAGCTGCCTTTCCCCTTCCCCAAGCCCATAGGCAAGGATTTAAAGTTTTTAAATGAGTTCTTACAAACTGTACATTATTGGTTTTGCACATGCTTGAATTTCTGATTATGTAAGTGATACGTAACCTTTTACACTGGTCCATCCACGCTGCCACCGTTCATGTCCACTGCCACAGTACCCCAGCGTGCCCACGCGCCCTCATTCTCTCCCTCTCCACTCAGCTAGCGGTGAGCACCCTGGTGGCTTCAACATCCCATCTCCATCAACAATGCTGCATGAATATCCTCACACGTATCTTCTTGGGAACCTGCAGGAGAACTTCCTCCAACACATGCACACACACCACGCCCAGGGATGGGATTCGCATGCCCAGAGAATGCAGATCATCATTTTGACTCAATAGGGCCAAATCGCTCTCCAGCGTGGCCACACAGGCCGCACTTTCGCCAGCAGGGCATGAGACTCCTATATCTCTGTCAACACTCAGCATCCTCCCGTTTTCTCATGTTTGCCCAGGTGATAGGACTGTCGTTTCCATCTGCGAAATATCGAAGGAGGCCAGCCCTCCTGTCTGGCCGCACTACCAGGCAGCCGTTATCTTTCACCCTTGTGCCAGCTGCCTCCCTGCTCTCTCATTTCTCTGCCCCCACCTGCGTTTTCCAGCAGGGCTCCAGAGGGATCTTGATACAAAGCAGGTCTGAGTGCATCCGTTTCCTGCTTGGAACCTTGCAGTGGCTTCCCCTTGCTGTTAAGATGGAGTCCTAACTCCTAATTCCTGCATCAGGCTCTTGGCGGTGCTCTGGCCCCTCCCACCTCCCTGGCCCTGCAGCTCCCACTGTCCCTTGGCTCCCTAAGCTCTGTTGTTCAATGGTGATGACCAATATACCGATATTCTACACAACTGGTTCAATGGGTCGGAGTCCCAAATTTGCCATTTACCTCCTGTGTGAGCGCGAACAAGCGTCATATGTTCTCTGTGCCTCATTTCCTCGCCCTCCATCAACCTGTACCTGTTGAGGATGACCTAACCAGCTTCAGAGTTGTTATGAGGCTCAAATGGGCTAACACTTGAAGATTCTTAGAACGGTGACCAGCACTGAATAAGCGTTGTCTGGGACGATGAGAAGGATATCCACCCCTATTCTTCAGAGGCCGGTCCTCCGAAGACTGTAAGTTGTGTGAGGGCAGGGAATCACGTCTTCTTGCCCAGCAGGGCAGCACACGGTGCTCGTCACAGAAGGAGGCATTCAATAACTAAACGTGAACACGTGGGTCTGCAAACATGCCGAGGCCTCCCCTCTGTCCCGGAGGGCCTCTCAGCCTGCAGCTGCCTGACTGTCCCCCATCTCCTCCCTCCCTCCCAGGGTATGTCTGCAGGTGTCCCCCACAGTTCTCTGGGAGGCACTGTGAACAAAGAAGGGAAAACTGCACTGTGACACCGTGCCTGGAAGGTGGCACTTGCATCCCCTCCCCTGAAGGAGCTTCCTGTAACTGCCCTCACCCTTACACGGGAGACAGGTAAGCATAGGGGAGGCCACCTGCCATTGGCTCCTCACCCTGGGTTTGGCCCCATGAGGGAATGAATGACGTCTGCACTCTGACCTCCGGAGAGGCCAATGGGAGACCAGGAGTGGAGTGTTCCAGTGACCTGGCTTCTTGGTCTTTTCCATGGGTGAGGCTTCTCCCTCCAACCGCCTGCATCAGAGCACTCAGAGGAGAGTTCTGATTAAGATTTCTCAAGCCTTATTCTGAACCTACTGCATCAGACTCACTAGGTGGGGGTTCACGAATCTGCACTTCTAATCAGCTCCTCAGGCTTTTCTAATCTTTGCCAAAGTCTGAACATGGCTAAAGTTCTTACTCTCTTGCTCTGGACCGCGACTTCTCAGAAAGTGGCCCGGGGACAATGACCCCTCTAGACAAATGACTCCACATTGTCCACTAGGACAATGACGCACTGTTGTGGGTCTCGTGTAAGCTACCTGTGCCTTATATTATGTTGGCCTGGGGGAGTCCAAGAATCCTCAGATCCCTAGAATCCTAGAGGTAAAGAGGCCTGGCAATTATCTAGGTTTATGGCTCCCCAGCTTGGGAGCCTTTAAAAAATCATCAGGGATACTTGTGGAAAATACAGATTTCTGGGCCTACTATATCAGAATATCCAAGGAGTGAGGCCTGGGATTCTAATTAGAACAAGCTTCCAAGGGATCCCCTTGCCGTCAGTGTGTGCCTAAGATAGCCACTGATGTAGTTCACCCACTCAGTTTACAGATGGGAAACTGAGGCCCAGAGAAGGAAAGGGCCGGTCCAAATCCCTCCACATGTTTATGACCCAAGTCCTTTCTCTCAGCACCTGGCATTTCTGGCCTCACAGCACACCTCTCTGCAGTACATGTGCCACAGGGTACTTCCTGCCTGAAAGTGGGGTCTGCATTTTACAAGAGGAACTGGGGAGGACAATGTCTAACCCCAAAGGACAAACTGTTGGTGGTGAAGTTTTAGACACTGGGACTCAAGCAGGATGGAGGAAGCCTTTCCCAATATCCCTCAAAAGTGGACAAAACTGGCCACAGAAGCCTCCTTCCTATGAGCCTTGCTCCATGAAATGCCAAGCTGACGGTGATCAGAGACGTCATACAATTCCAAGTACTCTCTCTGAACAAGTTGTCCAATGTAAGGTCTGTGCAGGGTCACAGACCCTGTGTTGGGTTTCTGTGACCTCCTGAAGAACAGTGGGTAACACTGCCACCCTGTTGCCATGGCCGGGTGACTGCTGACTTGTAGCTGGGACTCTGACATTATTGCTGAGGACAGCTGGGTATGTTGGTTGCCTCGACCACAGTATACGTTTGGAAGTCTCACCTTAATGATGGAGAGTATATCCAAAACCTAGATCTCATGAGTGGGAAATAATGGATGGGCCTAGAGCCTAGATTCCAAATCTAGGTCATGAATGAACATGTAACTGACTCCCACACCCTACTGGTGGAGGGTGGAAAGTTCTAAACTTGATACGTGTGATCATTACCAACCCTTTTCTTTTTTTCTTTTTTTTTTTTTTTTTTGGTTGAAAATTGGAGAAGGTAGGCTTGAGTGTAGGAGTCCATAAATCTTTGTGAGAGGGGACACGGAAAGGGAAGTGTAGTGACTCAACCCCCCGACTACTTCTCTGTCTCTGCAGGTGTGAAATGGAAGCAAGGGGCTGCTCCGAAGGTCACTGCCTAGTCACCCCTGAGATCACAAGGGGGGACTGGGGACAGCAGGAGATTCTAATCATCATAGCAGCCCTACTGTTTATCGTTTTAAGCACAGTTGGGCTCCTCTTCTACTGCCGCCGTTGCAAGTCCCACAAGCCCGTGGCCATGGAGGACCCAGACCTCCTGGCCAGGAGTGTTGGTGTAGACACCCAAACTATGCCTGCCATCGAGCTCAACCCCCTGAGCGCCAGCTCCTGCAACAACCTGAACCAACTGGAGCCCAGCAAGACCTCAGGTCCAAATGAACTTGTCACTTTTGGACCCAGCTCTAAGCAACGGCCAGTGGTCTGCAGTGTGCCTCCCAGACTCCCACCAGCTGCAGTCCCTTCCCACTCTGACAATGAGTCCATCATAAAGAGGACATGGTCAGGCGAGGAGATGGGTCAGTATAGCCAGAGGCCCTCGGCCTCCGGTATTGATGGAATACGGTTGTAGACTTGAACACTCCATTACGTGAAGCCACCATCCAGTCTATCCCTTTGGGATGGGATATGAAGGGATGTGTTCAAGGTCACAGTGCACTAGTGGACTGGACCAGATGCCAGGTCTCTGGTCTCAGACTCTGTGGCTCATTCCATTGCACCATGATCCCCTCATCCACATTTCAACTCATTCCAGAGGACTGATATCTATGGCAGAAGCCTGTAGACCCTGGATAGGGGTGAATGGGATCCTGGGGGTGAAGGGGGTGCGGGGTTTCTGTACCTTTAGGCTTTTCTTGAAAAAGGAAAGAGCAGTAGTCCCAACTTCTGGCCATCCAGTCTGGAGGTACAGCAGCCTTGGGCCAGACGTGGCTGACTTCCAGGAGGGACCTCTCACTTTTGGCTCACTAGGAGGTGAATTCGTAAAGTGCTGTATATTTTCTGGTTTATTCACCAATAGTTGAAACAGGTATTTTCATAAACTTTTTGCTGATAGGGTAATTTGGGGCTCATAAAAACACAGTAACTTGTTCTAACTCACCCAACTATTTAGTAGCAAGGACAGAGCAAGGACCAAGGATGCCTGGTCTCCAATCTTCCAAGCCATATCTTATTTAATCATGCTCTGTGATAGATGCCATCACACACACACACACACACACACACCACCACCACCACCACCAAACCGTGTGTCTGTTTCCTTCAGTCAAGGAGACGTAAGTTACCAGTAGGAGCTGGGATGGAGTAGCTGGCCCCAGCAGCGGGGTGTGGGCTGTGTGGAGTTGTCCATATTCTTCCCTTATTCACTGACTCTTGGATCATCGGCACATATTTGCAAGAGGAGCTGGCTTTGGGTTAAACCTTTGGCCGTGAAGTTGGCCGTATTGAATTCTAAATATCAACCTAAGCTGCCAGAGACAACACGACGTAGAAAGCCACATTACCCGCCCCGCGCCCCCCCCCCCAAACTCTTTTGCCCATTTCTACCACATGCTGAATCATGTATAGTACCTATAAGGCCTGCGGAAACCTTTACCAGGGAAACTCAGAGCTCACCCTAACTTTCCATTTTCTTTCAGTGTGCCCAGCTGGAGCTACGGTCTGGCCCCCTACTTACTCCAGGAAGGAACGCTGGGAATACCCCCACTCTGAAGTGACCCCCGGCCCTCTGCCACCATCGCCTCACCGCCACCAGACCCCACCCGTGATGCCAGACCCCACTGGCCTCTATGGGGGCTTCCCCTTCCCACTGGAGCTGGAAAACAAGCGGGCACCTCTCCCACCCCGTTACAGCAACCAGAACCTGGAAGATCTGATGCCCCCACGGCCCCCCAGTCCCCGGGAACACCTGCTGGCCCCCTGTCTCAATGAGTACACGGCCATCAGCTACTACCACTCCCAGTTCCGGCAGGGAGGGGGAGGGCCCTGCCTGGCAGAGGGGGGCTACAAAGGGGTAAGTATGCGCCTCAGCCGGGCTGGGCCCTCTTATGCCGACTGTGAGGTTGGGGGTGGGCATCCCACAGGGCGGGGCCAGCCCCAGGCTCCCCCCCACTATGAGGGCTCTGACATGGTGGAGAGTGATTATGGGAGCTGTGAGGAGGTCATGTTCTAGCTGTCCTCAGAGGGAGGCAGGTGGGAGGCCAAGGACTTGGCATCTTCCTTCCGTCTTGCACGAGTGAGATGAGCGTGGCTGGAAAAGAGGAGGGAAGCCCCCAGTCCAGGCCGCCATGCCTTGAAACGTGCTCTCCCAGACCCCCGGCTAGCCCCTGAGGATGGAGGGAAGCTGAGGGAAGAGCTCCAGAAATAGCACCAGGGCCCCCCGCAGCAAGGGGCTGCGCAGAGCAGTTGACCCTGGAGAAACAGGACACACTGATTCCTGGGATGGACAAGAGGCAGTCTGTCTGGCTGCCTGCCACCTCTCAGTCCCCAGGGAGGCAGGGCCTGAACTACTGAGTCCGCTCTGCCAGGGAGCACCCTTACACCTACTCACAGCCCCATTCTGGAGGCAGAGGCAGGTCTGCGCCTGACAGGCCACAGAGACGGGGCCCAGGGTCATCTGACCCTGGAGGGCCACAACGCGTCCTCTAGGGGCTGAGAGGTAAGCAGTACGCAAGCAGGGACCAAGCCGGCTGTGCACCCTGCCTCATTCGTACATTACTCCAGCATCTGCTCCGTGTCGGGTACTGTGCTAGGCCTGGGGCACGATGTGAATGAGGGCGACAAGGGTTCCCGAGGAGCGTCGCTTGGCTCAGTCTCCTGGGGTCCCACTCGAATCCAGATTCCAAGGAACTTGCTCTGCCTCTATCAAGTCCCATGACCTTCCTCCAGCCAGGGCCGGTCAGGATTCGTGCAGCCCTGCGCCTTCTTTGTTAAGGAATTCAGACCTCATGGAACTCTGGGTTCTTCACCCCAAGTTTCTCAAGCACTTTGGGCCAAAGGCAAGAAGGACATAATTCTTCGTTTTCAAAATTCTTAGGCACTTTTCAACCTTGCTGTCTGGATGAGTTGCCAAAGGGATTTTCCTTCCCTAGACACAAGGAACTCAGAACTCCCACTCAGGGCATCAGGGCTGGGGGGAGGCACGGAGCCGGATGCTCTGCCTTTCCCTGCCTCTCCCTGCCAGCTCAGATGCCTGCCAATTGAAGTGTTACCTGCAGTGACTCAACCCTATGCATGGAGGGTCAGTGTGGGCACGTGTAGAGTGTATGTAGCCAGGAGCGGCAGTGACCGGGGTGGCTGTGCCACTCTCTCCCCTGCCAATCCCTTTCTCCGGTCCACTGCCTTTTCACGCGTGTTGTTTGTGGAGACAAAAGTCAAAAGGAAGAGCAATAGAGACTCTCACCCACCGGGTTGCTGCTGATAGTGAGAGGGAACTGTGTGGGTAAGGGTGTATGTGCGTGACTGGTTCATAGCTGTGCGTGATGGTGTGTGTGACGGGATGACTGGTTTACATTGGTCATTTGTTGTTTTTTTAACAATAAAGTATCTTTTTTACTGTTATTTTTCTGTGTCACTTACCCTGTTTGGGGCTGGGTCAGGGGAAGGGCCAAGGGTCTACGGGCCCTTCTGAGCTGAGGTTCATGGAATTTGGGGGCTAGGAGGGACCCCAGAGGTCATCAAGCACCGTGATTCCCAAACCTAGCGAAATGGCTAAAATGTAGATTTGTGAGCCCCCAACCCAGACAAACAAAATCAAAACCTCTGGCGGCGGGGCCCCGATCACTTGGGAAAAACGCCTCCAATTCCAACATAACTGCCTGCAGTGAGGGAACACGTCCGCCAGTCAGCAGGTCGGGGAAAGGCCCAGGACGAGACTGGAGGGCTGCTGACCCCGGCCAACACTCTCTGCACCTCACAGCACTGGCCGGCGAGAGGGGACTTTCTAGCACAGGCCCGGGGGAGCCAGTCCTCCTGGTGCCCAGAGCCAGTCTATGGCTGGGCTGCTTCTCCACGGCTCACCCTGAGGCCCAGCTGGGCTACTGGGCTCCTGGGCTACTGTGGTCCACGTAGGCCCTGCAGTGACACTGAGACTGGAAAGCCCAGTCCCTGCCGCCACGGTCCCAGTGGGGTGGGCAGAGAAGACACATCGCGGGAGGCACCACCGCACATTGTGGCTCTGTGGCCAGATAGGCTGGGCTCCAAACCCCTCTGCCACAGAGCAACGTGGCCCCGGGCAGGTAAGAATTGGCGTTCCGATTTTTAGAAGCATAAACAATAAATGGTAACCTATGCTAGGAAGTAATACTAGATAGTATATAGATCGGATTATCAGAGCTGTGCAGGAAATCACAAACAGGCTAGTCCGGTGTTGCCCAGACTTCTGTTGTTTTGCTGACCACTTTTATGATTTTTGCCCTAATAGAATACCACCTGTGCCATTGTTTACTTAATAATTTTCTTTCAGTGCGTTCTGATTTGAAAAAACATTTGTATTCACCCCAAAATGATATATGCATAAACTAAAGGATTTGAAAGTCGGTATTTGTTTTCTAGAACACATGAAAACACATAAACATTCAGATTTTTTAAATGACTGTCCAGGGTCCACTTTGGGAAGTGCGGATCCACTGTACTTCATTCCTGATGTGCCTTATCCCCAGGCCCACAGAGGAGAAGGGTTTGTCTGAGGTCCCGCAGGTAGAACTTCACAGGTGTGAGGCCCACAGGCAAGTCTGCACCCAGCCTGGGGATCTCCCTTCAACACAACTTGCTCTCCCCCTGGATGGGGGAGCCTCTCTCCAGACAGCCCCGCTTTCCAGAACAGGCCCCCTCTTTCCCAGTCTTCCTAAGCCTGCACCTTCATGTACCAACCAGCAGAGGGCTCTCTGAGATCAAGATCAGCCTACTGAGCTGTGGAAGACCCGAAGGTTTTTAGGGAAATTCTCCCATCTCAAGTCACTGGGGCTCTGGTTCCAACCATCCGAGTTTTACACAGCACAACAGTGGCAGAGAAAGGCAGACAGGCAGGTTTCCTGACTACCAGGCTGGGCGTTTTTACAGTTCACCATAATCATCTTCATTCCCACCTCTTACTGGCACTTGCTATAGGACAGGTGCTGTGAAAGCACTTGGCATATCTTGTCCCATTGAATCCTCACAAAAACCTCATGAGGTAAGTACTGTCACCTCCAGTCACAGACGGAGGAATGGAGACACACATAAATTAAGTGGCTTGTAGCTTACATTAGTGACTTAAAGTAAGGTCACCCAGTTCACAAGTGACAGGGCCGGGATTCAATTATGGGGCTGCCTGACTCCCGATCTTGGCTTTACATTTGGGTTCATGAAACAAACTACAGGGGGACATCAGGGGATTGAGAGACAGCAGCAAGGAGGACTGAGAGGCTTCAGTGTAATGAGCTCAAGGCCTAGAGTGTCACCTTATTCTAAGTGGTATTAACAGGCGAGTGTCCAGATCCTGGGAGTGGGGTCTGCTCAACCCTGGGGTTCAACCCCAAGCCACTCCTGTGATCCTGCGTCCAGTTCTGAGGCCAGATCTTAAGAGTGCCACAGCAACCTTGAGTGGCGGCTAGAGGGAAACCAGGAGGGGTGGGAGTGAGGACTCACAATCATGTCCACGGTAGAAGGGCAGCTGGAATTCACCAGACAACAGCAAAGGAGTTGTGAGCCTGCTCATTCAGAGGGCCGTGATGGGAGGCCGGGCTTGCACAACTGTAGCATCACATGAGGTTGATGAAGGCCAATGTATCTTCCAGAAATTGGAGCACTGCTGGAGGGTGGGGGGGGGGCCACATGACATCCTGTGGGGAGGACTTATCTGGGGTGGAAGAAGGGTAGAGCCAAAGGCCTTGGGAGGAAAACCATTCTCATTTGGAAGGACGATTACAGATATTTGAAAAGATAGAAGGGGGAGAAAACAGGATATAAAGGTTTGAGATATGGAGTGCTTTGCCCAAGGCCCACGGCTAGTTCAGTGTGGAACATCAGGCCCATCTTCCTGGTACCCCACAGTGAAGTGGTGAATGCCGGCCTGTGGGGGCACCTGGCCCCAAGTGCTGGACAGCCACCCACGCTGCAGTGTCTAAGGACAGACTTTCAAAGACCTCAGGCAGCCTCTGCCAGCTCTGTCTTGAGGAGAGGCACCAGAGGTCTCACTGAGTAAAAAGCAGGGACTTTCTCAAGGACCCCGCTGGGAAAAGACAGACATTTAGAATTTTCTCAAGATTCCTCAACAAATCTCCAGGGTCGGACCAAGGCAAGTGCTTGCTTAGATTGATGCAAAACTAAAAGTAAATATAGTGACATCAGCTCTTTGGAGGCCAGGCACTATTCCCTACTCAAGGAAACCACACAAACCAATTAGTCACCAGCTAATTCCAGATACATAATTAGCCCCGCACAGACAAGCACGGGGAGATCTAGCCTGATCTGATCCTTGCTCAGGAAGCTCATGATCTAGGAAGTCGCCAAGCAGTCACAACTGTCCAGCATAAGTAGACATGAAGCTACCCAGACAAGGGATGTTACCACTCTGCTGAGGAGGGAACCATAAATTCTGACTGACGTGGCCAGGGAAACTTCTAAAGAGGAGCAGCCATCCGAACTGGGCCTTAAAATTGAGCTTCAGATTTAGCACAGAGAGAAGGGCCAGCCAGGCCTAGAGGTTTTAAGTATTTGGGCAATGGCGGGTAGTCCTGGTGGGTTGAAGTCAGAATGTGGGAGATTAGGGCCTGGAAACGTCCTGTGTCCGCTGAGGGGTGTTGAGAGACAGAGTGAGTGGCAGGGAAGATCTCACGGGAAGTATAAGGTTTGGAGCCACACAGACCCGGCTCCACAACTTAGAAAGTGTGATCTTGGTTAAGTCGTTTAACCTCTCATGCCTCAGTCTGAAAAATGGGGACTTTACCAGCACCTCCCTTCACTGGATGGGAGTACTAGAAGTGATAATAATGATGCTTAGCGTAGTTAGCATAGTAAAGGTTCAAAAGACGTTAGCTATTTTATCACTAATATTAAAAAGTCAGATCTTTTCGTAGTATCCATAACCACACACTTACCTTTGTTCCATGGCCAGATTAAAAAAAAAAAAAATCCATTCCCCCAGCTAGGGGTAAGACGGGGCTAAACGTATTAAGGTAGTAGTTCTCAATAGGAGAGGGGGATGATTTGAACCCCTCAGTCCCCACGCCTGCCCCCCTCCCCCCAAGAGTACCTCTGGCAATGTCCGGAGACACTTTGGATCACCACAACTGGCATTTAGTGGCTAGAGACCAGGGATATTGCCAAACATCCTATAATGAACAGGACATTCTCCACAACAAAGAATTGTTCACCACCAAACATACATAATAGCAAAGTTGAGAAACTGTCCTAAGGAAACATATGCGGGCTTTATGTAGCATTACAGCAGCTGGGAACCTGGCCTGAGGCAAAAAAAAAAAAAAAAAAAATACTCTCATGCCAAGAACAGCAGTTATGGCAAAATGGTTTTGTTCATTTACAAAAAGGCACTATTCTGGAGTCTACATTTGTCAGACTAAATATCAGGGTGAGTCCAAAATAACAGATAATCCGACAGTATCTAGAAAGAATGATACACCATGACTAAGTAGGATTTACTCTAGGTAACCAAGGCTGGTTCAATATTGAAAAACCAATAAATTTAATCCACCATATCAATAGGTGAGAAAAGAAAAATTGTAAGATCATATCAAGTGACGGAGAAAAAAATTAACAAAATTCACACATTCATGATTTTTAAAAATATATATATCTCAGTACAGAAACAGGGGAGAACTTCTATAAAAATCTGAAAGTTTAAATCATACTTCACGGTGAAAGACTGAATGAATGTTCTCTCTGTACAATCAGAGACAAGCCTAGAATGTTTACTCTCACCACTCTTTTCTTTTAACATAGTGCAAGAAGTTCTAGCCATTGCAGTAATAAGGGGGAAAAAAGTACACAGAACAGGAAAAAAGGAAATACACCTATCTCTACATGCAAAGAGCCTGACTGTCTACACAGAAAATCCCAAGAAATCTAGACAAAAACTCAAAGAACTATTAAGTGAGTCAAGACAGGTCGTAGGACACAAAATTAACAAATATCAATTGCATTTCTATAGAGTACCCATGAACACATGGAAATTGAAATTAAAAACATATTACCATTTCCATTGCTCCAAGAAAATTAAATACTTAGGTGTACGTCTAACAAAACATTTATAAGATCTGATGAATGGTTAAAATAAAAAATAATGATAACATCAAATGCTGACAAGGATGCAGAGAAAGTGGGACACTCACACATGGCTGATAGAAATGTAAAATGGTACAGCCACTCTGGAAAGTGGTTTGGGAGTTCCTTTTAAAACTAAAAATGGGCTTACATACAACTCAGCAATTGTACTCTTGGATTTCTATCCCATGGAAATGAAAACTTGTTTTCATGCAGAAACGTGTACATGAATGAATATTCACAGCAGCATTATCTGTAATAGCCAGACCTGGAAACAATGCAGATTTCCTTCCCTGGGTGAGTGGTTGAACAAAGTGTGGTACGTCCGTACCATGGAGTACAACGTAGCAGTAAAAAAAGGCAAACTATTAAAATAGGTAACAACTTGAATGATCGTCAAAGAAATTTTACTGAGTGAAAGAAGCCAGTCTCAGAAGGGTGCATACTATGTAATTCAATTTATGTAACATTTGTGAAATCACATAGTGATAGAGACGAAGAGCAGATTAGCAGTTGCCCAGGGTGAGGGATGTGCCCAGGGTGAGGGATGTGGGGGAGCGCAGGAGGCAAGTGTGGGTACATAGGGGCAGTGTGTTGGAGTCTTGTTGTAATGGCATAGACAAGAATCCTGACTGTGCTGGTGGAAGCTACACATGTGATCCAACTGCCACAAACACCTGCCACCTCCCACACACATCCACACCCCCCCCCCCCCACACACACACACACACGCACATGAGATGTGATTGGAGAAATCTGAATGAACTGTATGTTTTGTGCCAATGTCAGTTTCCTGGTTTTGATCATGTACTACAGTGATACAAGATGTCAACACTGGGGGAGACCGGAAGAAGGGATCCCCCCCATACATTTCTTCGCACCTGTGAATCCATAGTTAATTCAAAACAAAAAAACTTTAAAATTTTTAAGAAGACTAAATCCTTAAATACGTCACTAAAGAAGATAGATCAATGGCAACTAAGCAAGGAGAAGTGCAGGACGTCACTAGTCATTAGGCAAAGGCATACCAAAACCACAAAGAGGGTCTACCACATCCCCATTAAGATGGCCAAAATTTAAAAGACCACAATATGAAGTATTGGAGCAACTGGAGCTTTTTTTTTTTTAATTTTTTTTTTCAACGTTTACTTATTTTGGGGACAGAGAAAGACAGAGCATGAACGGGGGAGGGGCAGAGAGAGAGGGAGACACAGAATCCGAAACAGGCTCCAGGGTCTGAGCCATCAGCCCAGAGCCTGACGTGGAGCTCGAACTCACGGACGCGCAAGATCGTGACCTGGCTGAAGTCGGACGCTTAACCGACTGCGCCACCCAGGCGCCCCAGTGGAGCTTTTATAAATTGTTGGGAGGAATCCAAAATAGCAGAGTCACTCTGGAAAAACAATTTTCCAATTTCTTATACAGTTAATGTACACTTACCATCCAAACCCACAATTCCACTCCTAGGTATTTACCCAAGAGAAATGAAAACATGTGTCTACACAAAGGTTTGCACGCGAATATTTGTAGCAGCTTTATTCATAATGGCCCAAAACTGGAAGCAACCCAAACATCCAACAATTGGCAATAAACAAATTATGGTTCGTCCATACAATGAAATATTATTCAGCAATAAAGAGAAACAAACTACTGATACGTGGAATGATGTAGATGAATATAGAAAGCATTTTGCTAAGTGAAGGAAGCCAGACATAAAGGACTACATATTTAATGGTTCCATTTAGACGACATTCTAGAAAAGGCGAAACTAGAGACCGAGAAGTCAGGTCGGTTGTTGCCAAGGAGTCCAGTGGCATGGGGATGGGACTGACTGCAAGGGAATTTCTCAGGGTAAAGCAAACATTCCACATCTTGACTGAAATGGTGGTCAAATGATGGCATGCATTTGTCAAAACTCATCAAACTGTACACTTAAGAAACAGGTGAATTTTATTACATGTAGACTATACTCCAATTTTTTCCCCCAAAATGGGGGGAGACCAATGACCAAGGGTCTAGTAAAGTGCACCAGTTAAGGATAGTTTCTTGCGTATGTCTGCAACAGGCAGAGTCTGAGGAAGCAAGCCTACTTAGCAAAGAGTCCCAAGTTTAGGGTCCAAATTCAGTCCACTGTCACTCAATTTACGCCTCTAGTAGTACAGCGGGCTTCCCTCGAGGGTCCTTGTTATCTGGAAGGAGGGATTACAACCATTAAGTGTGAATGTGAGCAGGACCAAAAATGTGAAGAGGTGGAAACCTAAAAAGTTTTGAATGTTCTCCACAACGTGAGCGAGACAGGACTAAAGAACGGATGCAAACCCACAAAACAACTAAAACTGCTTCTGAGTCTTGCTTTGCTTCCATTCGACTGATATTTCAGAAAATGCTTCATAAGCTTCCATGCCAGGAAGTTTAGAACATTCCCTCTAACTCTCGCCATAATCCCTAAAGGTGGGCCTCCCTCCTGAGGCTGTAACAAAGAGGGGGAGGTAGCCAGTGCCTTGGGGAAGCGCTTGGGTTCTGGAATCTCCGTGCTTGCGTATGTGTCCTAATTCTGCCACTGGCTGATGGCTTGGAACAGTCACTGAATCCCTTTGACCCCCCAGTTCCAGAAATAATATTGATAACGGAAAGTAGTCAGAATCCATTCCCTGCCTTCCTCTCTCTGTAAAGTGCTATATACTTCAATACTGTGCCTCAGGGGCTCTGCTTTTGAATGAGTCTAATTCAGTAGCTGCCCAAGATTGGTTTTCTGATCCCCTAAAGAGGCAGCTCAGACGGTCTTGTCTGCCCTCCTAATGTCACAAAAGGGGAAAGGAAGTCCTCTCTTCCACTGTCCTGAAATCTGTCTCCCTGCTTTAAATATATACACCTACATGGAGGGGGTGGGATCTCAAGGAATTGGTTTATGTGACTGTGAGGGCTGGCAAGTCCAAAATTCACAGGGCAAGCTGGCAGGCTGGCCGTCCTGACAGGAGCTGACGCTGCAGTCTTGCAGCAGAACTTCTTCCTCACTGAAACCTCGACTTTCCTCTTAAGGCCCTTCAACTGATTGGAGGAGGCCCACCCAACTTTAAGGATAAACTTGCATTCAAAGGCAACTGATTATCAACATCAACCACGTCTACAAAATAGCTTCAGAGCAACAGTGAAGTTAGTGTTTGATTGAATAACTGGGTTACTCAACGTCATAGCCCAGCCACGTTAACACGTGAAACTACCCATCATACGTGTCAGGTATGGTCGTCTGATATACACAGAGAGGGTTGAGAGTTTCTACTCAAGTTTTCAATAAAAGCAGGAGCAGGCTAAGGAAGGGCAGGACTGTCTGACAGAAAAATACCTACCTGGCCCCTTTCTTGGGAACGCTCAATTCCACAGGTGGCCCTACTGTTTGCACTGCTCTCCCGGGGGAGCTCTGGGACAGCAACTAAAAACATTTCAGCCTCGCAAGATCTAGTAAAGAGATCTGAGTGATACACAAAAAAACAAAACAAAACAAAAAGGCAAAAACAAAGATGCAGACTGCAACCTCTCAAAAATAAAAAATAAAATTCATTTATTGAGGAAGGAAAAGTTTAACACATGATCCAAGTGCAGAACCCAAAACAAATTCTTCTATGAGCTCCTGCATGATCTACCTCTCTACACATACCCTGTGAGAAATGACACCCATGTAGGCACATACACGGTATAATATACACGGTACCGTCTGGTTACCAACACCTGTTGGATGGCAGTTTTTCATATTCGTCTTATTTGCACATTCATCGACATGGTTTACAAGAGTCACATAAATTCGTTGTTCACTAAAAACAGCTTCCCCAGCATCGCCTTGATTTCAACAAAAGAACACGGCTTACAACAGGCACCCTCAACCATCGTTTCCTCGCCCCCCCCCCCCCGTTCTGGTGGCCACATATCAGCACCACTTACATACCCCGGCCAGATAATGACCCGGTGGTACAAACAGGGAAGAAATACCACAAGCCGATGCTGTCGGAGCACACAGCCCTGCAACCAGCAGGACTAATTAAATTGTCTAAAAGTATTGACCATGATTTCAAAGACAAGCCACACCCTCTCCTTTTCCCCTAATGGTCTTGGAGATTTGTAATGTACTTTGGAAAATTTAATTCTAAGGCAGACTTGGAGCCGACTCCCTAATCACGAGGTCACGCGACTTGTACCATGTGCCTCCGCTGTCAGGAAGTGGCGTCGGGTTTGGACCAGGGCCGATGCTGGGGGCTCGCCTTAACATCTGATCGGCTGCGAAATACAAGCCACTGATACAGACCCCTTTGCTGTGAGCAGTGAATAGAGAGAGCTGTAAACAGACACAAATTGAGATTTTGCACTTCCAAAAAACATGAGGTGAATATGTAGTGTTATACAGAGTAGATATTCTACAATTCAGGAAGGGAGACGTTTGGGAAGAAGAAAGTAAGCCAGGAGAATGGGGGCGGAGGAAAGATTTCCCCATGTTCCTTTCTGGGATCATCACTTGAAGACAAGTGAATAAACTGCAGATTGTACCTTTCATGGGGGTAGAGTGAGCAGTGAGCACCAGCCAGTGAATCCGGCCAGAGAGGTGAGTGGCAGAGAGGGAGGGCGGAAGCTGCAGGTTCTGAGCTAAGATACGCCACACATTCATACGCATCTGGCCCGGGTTTGTGCAGACGAAGGGCTCCTAGCAGCCAGACAGCAGCACAATATACAAATAATGACACTTGTGAATGGTGACAACTTCCAGAAAACTACACACAAGATGACAGATCATGCTCTTCCCAGCCATTTGAGGGGAGGTACGCTGCTGACAGAGAGGTGGAAACCTCCTAAGAGCAGCGTTTGCAAACAAAAACAAAAACAAAAACAAAAACAAAAACAAAAACCAAACAAGGGGCTCTGAGAAGCCACCTCGGGGCTACTGGAAATCTGAGGCTGCACTTGGGGTGGCTGGGGGAGGGGCACAGAGCCTAACAGTATCGGCCCGAGAATCCCACGGTTTGCGTTTGGCCCGGCAGATGCAGCCTCACACTCGAGAGCCTCGTTGCCCCTAATCAGACTTCTGTGTATGCTGGGCCTGCTTCACCAGGGGCCAGAGCAGGGCACAGGGAGAGGCTGGGCAGCTGGTTCCTGATGAGGCATGGACAGAAACCAGGGAAGGCCCCCTGACTGCAGAAGCCTCGTGGGCAGAAGAGCAAGCTATCCTGAGCTGGCCCAGAGGGCTGCTTCCCCCTACCCTCCATCTTCTGGCTGGCCCTTTACTTGACAACCTCACAACCGGAAAGGCCCATGGACAGGGCCCCCCCTTGCCTGGCTCTTCTGAAGCAGCAGGAGCACAGGAAAAAGATCAAATGGGGACAAGGCTGTGCCAAATTAGCTTCCAGAAGCCCCAAAGCTAGTGGTGCCGTCTCTCCCACACACGTTTTCTAGGCCAGGGACCCTGAAACAGTAGTCTGCATTTTGCTAAGACCTGGGACCAGAGGACCACTGTTCTGTGCCACCCGGTCCTCAGGTCAAGTCTTGCTACCCACCGGACAGGATGGCCTCTAGCAGCTCCCCGAGTTACCGAGGCCTCCAGCACAGAGGCTGTGGGCAGGACACACATCTGATTCCCTTCTTCTGGCCTGTGCCTTCTCACTGAAAACAACTCTCAGGACTGCCGTGGAAAGACGGCTGGAGCCCAGGGCTTGCAAACACATGAGCGCAGCTCTTGAACGCACTTTGGTACCTTCTGCGCCTGAGGTTTCACAGGGCAGGGCCGCTGCCCCCTTCAGCTAGAATCTGAGTCCCATAAGCACCTACTGGTGACCACAGAAAGGGTGGGTGAAAACCGTCATTCTCCTAATGGAGACCAAGTCACAAGTGATCCCATCTCCCTAAGTTCATAAATTATTAGTAGGCTGGGAGTCATTGCAATGAGAATTTGGCTTTGGAACAGAAGAGAGAGAAAAAGCCAGGCTGGGTGCGGGGACGGGGGCGGTCAGAGCCCTTACAAGCTTTGGGGAAACACAAACAAACAGGACCCTGATGAAGCTACGCTGCTCTCCAACTTTCAGGGCGAACTGTGTCTCCAGGTCAGAAACGGCCTGGTGACAGGAGAGGAGGACAGCAGGACCCTATTGCACACACATGAACACACACACACACACACACAGCTCAGGGGATGGAGACTTAATGAATGCCTTCTGAAATACTTCTCACACCAACAGGGGGGAGAAAAGGCAGCCAAAAGCAAGGCCACGAACCTTTCTCTGCTTTCTCCACAGTTTGTTCCCAAATCTGAAGGCTGGCCTTGAGGCGAGCCAACACCGAGGCTATTTCTGACACTCAGGGAGGCATGCAGGGGGAGGGACGGGGTCACGATTAGTGTTTAAAACATAGGGGACCGAAGTCCCTACCGAGTGGTTCCCTTTAGAAGAAGTCCAGGTCGTGGAGGCAGCCCGGGGTGGGGAGCTGCTTCCGGCCTGTCCCCCGTTGATTGTAAACAACCAAGCACCACGTGTAGTGTCAGACCAGCTGCTTCTTAATTCTGTGAACTGAACTTCACGCTCTGTGCTCACTGGCCCCGTCTTCTCATCCACGGCGAAGTGTGGGTGTCCTCCCGACGTGCTGGCAACTGAACGCTAGCGTGCCATGTGCCCGTCGGGGGCCTCAGCGCACGACGCGACCATTTTATAAGCCTCCTGCGGAAAGCAGCACATCCCACTCGGCCATCCTTCCTCGGCCCAGTGCACTGGCAAACATATCCTGAGTCCTGCATGTCTTCTCAATATGAAACCAGGCTGGTCAGTGGGAGGCAAAGTCCATACCTCCCCACAGAGGTACACGTGAAAATGATCCTGATTAAAACCTCTGGGGTACTCAGACAAGGGTGCTGAGGACCTAAGCACACATTTCCTAGAGCAAGTTTCTTTTCAGCAGGAGAAACCTAGTAAAAGCTTACTGAGGAAGAAACAATCCACAATAACCCCAGATCTAGAGACAATCTAAAAACAGAAGCTAATTTTAAATAAAATATAAATATTTTCAATTTAGGCAGGACTTGATATCTTTCGGAAGCTAAAGCATCTAAGAATACAACACTGTGACCCACACGAGGAATTTGGAGGAGGTGTTGCCAAGGGTCACAGGCAGAGAGAGTAAAGATTAAAAGCTCCAGCTCTGGAAGGCTGGTTTTTAACTACTAGGTAGGTCCAGGCACCTCCTGGAGACTTGAACAGGTTGGAGGAAACTGAGGTAAAATATCTGGGAGAGGTATGAGAAAGAGAGAGGCCCAGCCTTCCCACTCATTTAATCCAGGCCTGGGCCTGGAAAGGAGAAAACAGGAGGTGGGGGATGCTAAGATTTTTAAATAAAGTGAGCTGTGCAACAGGAATAATTGGGTGAGGTGGGTCAGAAGGAGGGAGGCAGGTAAGGGAGGAGACAGGATGAGGGAAAAGAGTTGCAAAGTTCTGGGTTAATGTAAGTACAAATGAACAGGGGTGGCCCTGCCACTAAGAGGGGCCTCTGCATATCTGCTACCCACTCTCTCCTGTGCCCAGGGCACCCAGCTGCCGGGTAGAGGGGCTCCTGGACAGCAACCTCGCCTTTCCCCAGAGCCCGGACCCTAGCTGAGGCTCTGGGGCCAGGGGCTGGGGAACACACAGGGGCGGGGCGGGCAGATCGCTATACAAAGGCACTGGTGGAGTTGATGAAGACAGGAGCACTGCTTGGCTGGATCAGCTCGTAGAGGGCCTCATACGTCCCCACCACAAAGCCCACGAAGCCCAGGATGCTGATCAGGGCGTCCTTGGCGATGGTGATGGGGCTCATGCCCTCCGAGTAGTAGGTGGTGATCTCCAGGAGGGGCGGGATGATGAGGGCCAGGGCGCTGCTGCTCACGGACCCCACCAGGGAGATGACCAGGTCCAGGCGGGGGATGAGGATGGCCAAGACGCCTGCAGGAGAGAGAGGACACACCTGCTCAGGACTGCCCAGAGCCGGGAGAGACCTCCTCACTGCTGAGCAAATTTAGCACGAGTCCTTCTTCCAAAATGGAGAGCTCCGCAGAAACTTAGACATTGTCCCATCCAGTGTCTCTTTGCACAGATAAAAAAACAAATGGCCACAGGTGTGGCACAACCTGGGTCTCACTGCAAGGCTGGGACTGGAACTCAGATCTCCTGGCTTTCAGCTTTTCCTGCTACAGCATACGACCTCCATCTTTCCGAAGCAAAGGAACCAAATTACACTCCTGGGCAGCCTGGTCCCTACCAGAGGAGGGAGGTGGACTGTTTCTGTGTGACTGGTCATTTTCTTCTGCTGAGGGTACCTCCCCCACAAATATCTCACTTAACTGACAAGAAACAAAATCGGGGGGGGGGGGCCATCCTTCTGGAATGCTATCAGAATAAACCCCGTCTCACAGAGCATTTTCCTACAGGGAAAGTAGATGTAGCTCAGAGTGCAGGCTCACCTGGGGGGCAAGGCCCCACACGATGGCCTCCCGCCCGTGGCTCCCACACCAGGCGGAAGTGACGAAGAACCAACCGCAGGCTGCCTTAGGAAACCCTGTCAGCTTCCACCCCGTGGCAATGACAGTGCTGCTGTCACACCAGGGGGAGGAGGCCTCGCCGACCGCACTTACTCCAGTGCCCGCTGAGCCCGCCGTTCTCATCTGACTCAGTTTTCCGTTGGGGGCGAGGCGCGAAGGCCACTGCTCCACAAGTGCCCCGAGGACTGTGGGCTCTGGCATCGGTGACACGGGGGGGGGGGGGGGGATGTTACCACTCCTTTCTATTCCCTGGTTTTCTTGTTGGCAAATGAGGATACAAATGGCTCCTATGTCACAGAGATACCCTGATGGCCCAACGGGGTTGCACAGGCACCTCACAAAAGGCCTGGGGTACAAGAGGCTCACGCTAGAGTTCAGAGCATCATTCTACTATATATGCTGCTGTCCATGCAACTGCATTACTGACTCATTACTGTCTTCCCCACGGCAGGCTCCAACCAGAGGTCCCCAGCATGGAGACCGTGCTCCAGAGCACATACCTCACTGGCTCCTACGAGTCACATCTTACATGGGGGGGGGTTCAGTTCCCCCTTCATCTCACAAAGCAGTGTAGCCAAGTCGTTCTGAGGAAGGCATCACAGTGGTGAGACTGCCAGACAGACACCTCAGGCCGATGCACCCCATTTTACCCTCAGATCAATTTTACTCCTCAGATGGGACTGTCCGCATCGATTACTGTTTCTTTGGCTAAGCTACAGACAAATGGACTGGGTTGCATGTCGAAGCCAGGTTTTGTGAGACGCACTTGCTTTTAAGCTGGAATAGCACTCCCTGTAGTAAGAGAGGAGGCGATGTGGGATGGGGGCTTACCAGGAGAGGGACAGGTACACGTCTCCTGTCTCACACTTCCTCTGAAGCGATGTCAACTTAAACGAATCCAGTTCCTCATTCACAGCGGCCATATTTCAAGGACTTAACAGTTGCCTGTGCCTAATGGCTACCGTCCTGGACAGCACAGACCCAGAATACTCCCCTCGCGGCAGAACATCTAGCGTCTGATAGGCAGCACTGCGACGCAGACACTCGTTGGCAGAATCTGCCTCGGGTCCATGGGTATGTAACTTCACAACATGGTTACTGTCCCCAGGCAGATTCAATGATAGGAAGGGACAGAATGCAGGCCCTCAAGTGTCTGGTCACGTCACACACCTGACGATTAAGAACATACAGAACTAGGGGCGCCTGGGTGGCGCAGTCGGTTGAGCGTCTGACTTCAGCCAGGTCACGATCTCGCGGTCCGTGAGTTCGAGCCCCGCATCGGGCTCTGGGCTGACGGCTCAGAGCCTGGAGCCTGTTTCCGATTCTCTGTCTCCCTCTCTCTCTGCCCCTCCCCCGTTCATGCTCTGTCTCTCCCTGTCCCAAAAATAAATAAACGTTGAAAAAAAAAAAAAAAAAAAAAGAACATACAGAACGACACCTGCAGGAGGGAGAACAGGGGCGCTGGCTGATCACACAAAGAGCCTGTCTGTGAAGAACTGGGGGAGTCAGATGCCGGGCTAACTTTCCCAGGGACGCACTGCAATCATTTAGCAGAGAACCGGTATACAGTCGGCCCTGACCTCTCTCTGCTTTGCAAAGGAAGTAAGACAAGTGTTTTGAAGCCTGATAACAAAAGGGGGCACAAGGATACTGAGCCTCAGATCTGCTTCTAGCATCATTTTATAGCCCTGAGGCAATCCCTTCCTCTTTCCTTATTCTAGTGTTCAACCGTAATGGCAATTATCCATCAACACCCTCGCTGTTCTGAAGCCTTCAGGAAGCCCATAAAAAGTGTAGGCTTTTAACTTGCACTGCAAGTTAAAAACAGTATGTTTCAGCCCTTAGCTATTTCTACATAGAGTTGGTGATATCCCTCAAATCTTCAGGGTTGAATTTGGAGGAAGGATAAAACTAAATTGTAAACTAGGGCGCCTGGGTGGCTCAGTCAGTTAAGCGTCCGACTTTGGCTCAGGTCATGGTCTCGCGGTTTGTGAGTTCGAGCCCCGCCTTGGGCACTGTGCTGACTGCTCAGAGCCCGGAGCTTGCTTCAGATTCTGTGTTTCCTTCTCTCTCTGCCCCTCCCCTGATCATGCTCAGTCTCCCTCTGTCTCTTAATAAATAAACGTAAAAAAAAAAAAAAAAAAAAAAAGACTAAATTGTAAGCTGATGACAAAATGGCGTTCTCATTACGGACAACTTTGCGCTCAACGAGAATTGATCTGCCGTGTGGTCCGTGCTGTGTGTTCCCTTCCCCTCTCTGGGGTCTGGGTCTACATCTGCCTAATGTCAACCTCACAGTGATGGCTCCCACGGTTCCAATGTGGGTGAGGGGTGTGGTGGCAATAGCACTGGGGCAGCAATCAGATCTGAACCCCGGGAGAGGCTGGTAAAGGAACGTGGTTGAGAGTGCAGGCTCTGGACTCAGAACCTGGACTCCAATCCCAGCTCCACCACTAACCAGCCAGCTACTTAACCTACCACTAAATAGGAATGGTCACATGAGACCGTTCACATCGAGATCTCAGAGCACTCAGAACTTAAGTGCACAATAAATGAAATGTGAGTTAATACAATCACCGGTCCCAGCACCAACGGGTTCACCATTTGGAGCCTCAGCTCATTCACCCATGAGGTTAGGTGACCATACGAGCCCTGGATGAGAACTGAAGTCTCACCCGCCTCTGACATCTTAAGGAACTGCACGAAGCAGGTTTAGTCACTTAGTGTGTTGTGGGATCCTTCAACTCACTGTCAAGTGGGAAGCACCATGTCCTGCTCGACTGTGGCACAGCAGAGCAATGGGATTCCTCTCCTAGAACAGATGGGTATGCCCTAAACACAGCTTCCAGCCTGCCTGGTTTTGTGCCGTTAAAGGGAGTGTGAGTTATTCTTCCAGTGCCAGCCCCTGATCTCCATGGATGCTCCACCCCACTCAAGAGAAGGGTGTCCCTTATCAGAGACAACAAGCCCGAGGAGGAAAGAAGTCAGATGACCTGCCTGCGCCCTCCCAGCTCTGAGTCTGACATCCCCTCTTCCTCTCTCACGTTAACCTGGGGGACATATGGTATGTCGTGATAGGACTTAAGTGAGGTCAGATGTGCTCTACTCTATGATAAGCATTAGGTGGAAACAGTGACACAAGCTCTTGCGATTAGAATCTTTTCTCAGATTAGACAGAGATGTTCCACTTCAGCATGACATTTTAAAAGCAACCTAAAAACTTGCCCTTGTGTTTGCTACAAAGGATATACACAATAAGCGTGCCTAACAAAAATATCTCTAAATAGAGATTTTTTAAAGTGGCAAAACTTTTCTCTTAAGGCCAGGATCACAGGGCTATCCTAGCTGGACCAGATACCACAAGCGAACCCCAAATAAAGCCTGACATTGGAGAAAGACAATGAGGGGGGTGGGGAGAAGGCAAGAACAGTAAGCCTCGCACTAATAATGCAGGGGGAAGGGGAAGACAAGAGGACCCAACCAAATTAGCACAAATAGCCCCAAGGGCTCAACAGCAGGGATGCCATCATGCAAAATGTGGCCAGCTAGCTTCAGCTAATTCCAGACATGGGAATCATGTACTTAGGAAAGATGTGGGAGTAACCAAAACCTCTTCTAGCACTAAATGTCTTCACTCGGAATTAAAGCCCTCTGGAAAGAGAAACTCCAGAAGGTAGAGATCTCAAAGCAGCCAACCAGGAATATCCTCTCCCTACTCTCTCCCTGCTCCCCCCAACAAGCGCACCCCATACAAAGAGGAACACTCCCACAACGCACTCCCAAACAGCAAGGCAGCGCCCTCTGTAGCAGCTTGGCTGTGGCATGTGCAGAAATGGGGGACTGAGGACAACTCAGCTAGTCCACGTGATTAGTCAAGAGGGCTCCAACGGTATTACAAAACATGTTCCCTTTGGGTTAAGAGACACTAAAAATGTGACCTTTTGACTGCTGAAGCACCAGGGGGCAAACGACCATGTTCAGAGATGGAACTGACTGGGATTCTGGAGCCTGTGGTTTTAGACCGGCAACCGAAAGAGCTGACATGTGCACAAGAGAAGACAAAGCACTTTAGAGAACACACACTTACAGAACTATGCTGGACACCTACAGCCAGCCCTATGTCTGGAAGCTCTTCCTGCTGTTTCGTTGTGCTCAATGCTGGTGCAGCCCACCTGTGTTACTCTGAATGTCTAGAAATGTACCTTTAAAATTAATACCAGCCTTGGGCACAATATGTCATTTCATTTAGGGGGAGTATAAATTTAAAAAAATACAAAAGCAAGGAAAACAACTTACATGTCCCACACCAAAGGAGTAGTTTAGTAAATATGATCCACTAATAGAATAGAATATTATATGGTCATGAAAATATTTATGCAGGATACGTACATTCATGACATAATATCAAATAAAAAGCAAAAGACGAAGTTTCCTGTGTATACTGCGATTGCAACTATTTTTAAAAGCACCTACGAGGATGAACACAGAAAATAAAATGCAAAAAAAATTATTTTGTTAAGTCAGTGGGATATTTGGAATTTCTTCTTCAATCTAGACATTCTTGAAATGTTTCTACATTAACTTTTTTTTTTTTTTTTTTTTTTGAGCAGTAGTTTGGTAGAAATTTCAAATCAGGCTCAAAGCACCTGTGCCAAATCACAGAAGTTTAGACTTGAAAGAAATCTTCGCAATCTGGTACCCTGCACAGCTATCTTCTGGCTGAGGAAACTGAGGCCTCGGGAGGGTTCCCCAGGGACCCACAGTGCACAGCTAATTACCACCACTGCCCCTTGTCATTGTAGCTGCAAGATGGAGGGATGGGAGGGAGCACAAGCTGCTGAGAAGCCACTCTGTTCGGACCTGGCAGCTTCATGCTTGACAGGGTTTGGCCGCTTGGACTGTTCCACAGCTACGCATTCCAGTCCAAACAGGCCTTTTAATTGATAAGGCTTTATGTTATTACATCTTCAACAATAGGTTTCTGAAATTTTCATATATAACCGAAGGAAGATGCTTCACGTGGGAAATGCCACAGAGAATTCGTTCAAAGCACTGAAGGACAGATTAATGCCTCATGGAACCCAAAGGAACTACTCTTTCTACACTTCTGAACTCCCTCTGGCACCAGCCTCTTCCAGCCTCTCCTCCTTGCACACAGGTGACCTGCGAAGTCTGCAATTGAAACATAGGGGCTGGAAAGAAATACTGTTTCATAGGAAATCGCAACACAATGAGTCTGAAATTAAGCACCAAAGAGTAGACACAGAAGTCTTTGCAAAAAGGGGGAGAGTGGCGAGAAAGTTGAATTCCCAATGCAAAAAAAAAAAAAAAAATTGAGTCTGGACCAAATTCCCCTGCTTCCCTTGGTGGGTGGAGGGTAAGGAGGAGAAGGAAAAAAGACAAGAAAACACTATAAATAGCAATGAAATAAGCTGCTATTAAAATGTATGGGTGTAATAGAAAACAATCAGTTCCAGCAAAGTTCTAAAATCATACACCAAATAACCTTGTGCAGCAAAGATCTGAAAGTACAGGAAAAAAACAAAAACAAAATAAAGTCACATAAATACATTTAAGTTGGTGCTGCAGTGAAATGCCTCTCCTGAATCCCACAACACTTCACAGTCTCCAGGGAAAGGAAAAGAAGCCCGGGTGTTCAGAGATGAAAAGGCTGCATCATTTAATAGGCTGACGATGCAATGCTAAGTCACAATAGATCACAGAAAGGGAAATAACTGAATGCACTTGCAGATCAAAAGCAGCTTGAGTCCTTTGAGCATCATGCTGTAGAAGGGAGATGAGACCCACAGACAGAGTCAGGAAAAGCAAAGCAAAATCCAGGAGACATCTAAGGATAGCATGAGGTCTATGAATCAGAGACTCCTGGCTCCTGCAGGGCGCGGTGGAAAGAAACCTGGCAGGAAGCAAGACATATGCTACCGGAGGCTAAGCCAGGTTTGAGAAGAAAATGGGGCCAGGACAGGAATCAGGCCCAGCATCACCGCCCCAGCTCTCTGGGCAAGGAGAAGCTGGTGTCTAGGCAGTTAGAGCACATTTTGCCTAGACAGACCTACCTTTTCTAGAGAAACCACTTTGAAAAAAGCCAATTATTTGAACCATCCCATCCTTGCTTCCAGCACCCTTTGGATTCCAGAATCAGAACACTGAGAGTTGACATTATACACTGTGCACATGAAGGCTGGACTTCAATCCTTAGAGGTAACCATCCACAGAGGAACACACGTATCTGTGTTGAAGAATGAGAGTTGCAGGCAGAAGATAGGAACAAAATCCAGAGCATCTTAGCGCACATTAAGGCAAATTGCTAGAAAAGCAAAGATACACTACAACTGTTTCCTTTTCAGTTGCTCTAGGGCAGCAGTGGCCTGTAGGTAGCTCTGGGCACTGGATTAGCTGCTGAGTGGGCTTCTTCTATAGGCTGGACTACAGAGGGCCAGAAGGTCTGCCAAACAAAGGCTATAAGGAGAAGTCAGATTCTTGGCTGCCATCAACTTGCTAGGGTTGGCAAATGCAAGCAGTCCACTCGTTGCCTGGCTCTTCCCCAGCCCCACCCTGCAATAAATCCTCAGACAGAATATGCCCAACATTAAGTCAGAAGGTTTGGTTCCTCAGCTCTAGTGACCTCCTTCCATACAAAGATTCAGGACGCTGAGCTTCACCCACATCCTTGAAATGAAATGAGAAAGAGAACTGCAGGTGGCTTGAAGAAATCTGTTCCATGACAGGCATCAGTCTGTTCCCCTGAGACAGTTCACTCTGGGACAGGCACTAGTCTGTTCTTTGAAGAGACATTCTAGGACAGGAGCCAGTCTATTCCTTGAGCAGATGAGTCTGAGATAGGCACTGTTCAGTTCCCTTGAGAAAGTCCTAGCTGGTAGAGCCACCAGTCTATTTCCTTGAAAGGTCCATTCTGGGATGGGCACTAGTCTATTTTTTGGAGAAGGACCATTCTAGGATAGGTACTAGCCTGTTCCCTAGGAAGCCCACTCTGTGGTAAGCAATGTCAGTTCTATTGAGAAGACCATTCTGGGGTTGGCACTTTCCTTAAAGAGGTCCTTTCTAGCACAGGCACTAGGCTGTCCCTTGAGGTCCTTTCTAGCACGGGCACCAGGCTGTCCCTTGAAGAAGCCCATTCTGGGATAGGCACTAAGTCGTTCCCTTGAGGAGGCCCATCTGGGATAGGTACTCATCTGTTCCCTGGAAGAAGCCCATTCTAGAATAGGCACTAGTCCGTTCCTTTGAAGAGGGTTTATTCTGGGATAGGCACTAGGCTGTTACCTTGAAAAAGTTCATTCTGAAATAGGCACTAGTCTGTCTCCTTGAGACTGGTGTCTCAAGTCCTTTCTAGGGTAAGAACTATTAGTCTTGCTGAGGAGACCATTCTGAGATAGGCACTAAGCTGTTCTCATGCGGAGGCTGATCCGGGATGGGCAGTAGTCCGTTCCCTAGAAGAAGTCTGTTCTTGGATAGGCACTAGACTGTTCTTCTGAGGAAGTTTATTCAGAAATACACACCAGAATGTTTCCTCAAGTAAGTCCATTTTGAGATAAGCACTATCAGCTCTATTGAGGAGACCATTCTGGGATTGGAAGTAGTCTGTTCCCTTAAAGAGGTCCATTCTAGGTAGGCACGATACTATTCCCTGAGGAGGTCCATTCTGGAATAGGCACTAGTCTGTCCCCCATGTCTAACCTCTACTGCCCTTCTCTTGTCAACAGTTAACCCATAACATCATTTCTGATCTTCCACACTATGAGTAAATGCTAGATAACTTTCACACCATTTATCCCTAAAACACTCCATTCTGGTTCAATTTAAAAATCATACAGGCCTATTTTTATTCCAAAGATAGAGCCTTGGACTGGATAATTTAAGAAGTTCCCAGGGAAGTCTCAATATAATAAGTCAAGATAATTCTTTTCCCAAAATAACACAATTTTTAAAAATAAAATAAAAAGCCCAACATAGCCAAAAAGTAACATCTAGATTCAAGTACTGTGATCTGGAAAGAAGTTGCAAATCTCCTAGAAATTTACATTAGGTATTATAGACCAATTTATTCAGGGGTTCTCTATTCTATCAACTCACAGAACCTACCAAAAAAGAAAAAAAAAAGGAAAAATTGATTTTTATTTTAAAATGTACATCGGTTTCCACCAACAGCAAATAGAGTAATATCTTGCCTCTTAACTCACACTCCGGGGCGTGTGGTCAGGGAGGAGAAATAAAACACAAAGGTAAAAATCAAACACCTAGATTAATCAGTATACATTTTCTAAGAAACACATTTAGTAAACGTCTAGAAGGCCCAACATGAAATCTAAGCAATAGATTGTCACACTGGAAAAGGATTATTTGAAAACACAAATAAACATGTAGTGGCTATCAAAGTAACCTATACTCATATGCATATGGTTTAAATGGCTCTCTTTTACACTGTTACCTTATTTTACCCCAAGGACATGGGATAGTAATTGTATATCTTTACTATGAATTCTGACCACCACTGTAGCATTTTACGCCATATCTACAAATAAACTTGTGTTCTCCTTCCCATGCCCTTTCGAGTACATATACAATCAATTCACTTCACCGTCTGTCCGGGCCTCAACTACGCACCTGAGACATCAGGCCATGTTCCCCGCTCACACACTACAACTGTTTCAGTACACCAGGCTCTCCCTCAAGAAAGCCCTGAGGACTGGGTGCCCTTTGGGGAGGAAAAAAAAAAAAAAAAACCAAAGCAATTATCTCGTCTTCTACTCACATGTCAGGCAGACCAGCACAGTGCGCACGAACAGGTCTACCACCAGCTCGCAGTGCTCGGGCACGCGGGACACGAAGAAGGGGATGATGATCTCGGCCGGGACGTAGAACTGGAGGGCGTAGGTGAAGAAGATGCCAATGGAGTAGAGCAGCTTGACCGACTGGTACAGCCTGCAGAGAGAGAGCCGAGACCCATTCCAAAGCCTGCTCTGTGCCACAGCACTAGCAGTGAGGGGGCAAGACGGTCTCGCCGTGGCCATGTCTATCCAAGTCACCGACGCGCATGTCCTTCAGACCCAGCAATTTCATGTCGAGGCATTTACCCTGCAGATACACTTGCACGTTGTGTAACATTTTTCACTCCAAGTATGTCACTGTCGCATTGTTTACGTATGGAAGGCTGAAAACAGTTGCAATGTTAGCCAGTGGGGAACTAGTTACATCATAGGGTCCCATACAGCTGTGAAAAAGTAGGAGGCAGAAGTACAGGTGCTGATACGGAACCAGCGCCAGGATACGTAAGTGAAAAATGCGTGAAGCAGGACAGTGCCTACGGTGTGCTACAAATTGTCCAAAAAAAAGGAAAAAGAAGGAAAAAACACTCCCTCCCCCCCCACACACACATGCATATGACATTCTTACATACTCTAACCATCTCCAAAAGGAAACACAAGAAATCGGTAATGTGGTTGCCTCTGAAATGGTAAACTGTAAAACTGGGGACTTGGGGAAGCAAATGGAAACAAGCATATTCTGTCTACACTTTGAACAGCTGGAATCTTTACCATGGACATATAACCTTTCAAAAATCAAAACAATTAAAAATGCAATTAAAGCGTAACAGGCCTTTTTCTATCCTTCCCCTTCAATTCCCTGTTCCCTAGAATCAGAAGGGGACCACATGACCAAGAAGCAAGAGCAAAACCCATCTTCCCACACCACTGTGGCTGTCTTCCTACCATGTGTGGCTTCCTATCATGTGTGGCTCCTCAGGGAGACGGTTAACTCACCAACAGATAGCTCTGTCTTATCTCTTGCCTAGAACTGTGCAGAGTAGAAAACAAGCCTGATCCACAAGTACTCATGGATCTGAAATGATCAGTCCAGGGAAGGCTACCCTGCCCCTTAGCAAAAGCTCCCCTTCAAGCAAGACCTTCATGCCTTCAGCAGTAAGAAACACTGGCCTCCCCCACCTTGTTGGAAATCTATTTAAAAGTGGTGATTGCATTGTGTATATTGTGCATGGAGTTTCTCTGTGGTTGAACTTAATGCCTAGAAGATGTTCTGATGCTATAAACAGGAGAACATCCTGGGAGAGACTGAGTTTGACAAAAGGTCTTACTTGCTCCAAGAATAGATAATAAAAACGCTTTGGAAAAATCAGCTGGTGCCTCTATAATTAAACTCGGTACAACACCAAAGCCTTCTGGAGTGCTGGGAAGTCTGGAAGCAGGATCGTCACCTGCAGGGACGGCTAAATAAATCGCGCCTGAATGGAGGCAGAAAGATGAGAGTAGCTGGGTTTGGAGTGTCAAAGGGACGATGACAGGTGCTCATCCACGGCTTTAGATTATGTGGGCTGCTTCTGCTGTTCCTGATCCATTCATCTTCAGTTATGCCAACCTACCACCTGGCTCTTGAAAGGGCAGGAACATTTGGAAACTTAAAAGCAGGCATCAGAGCGAAAGGGAAAGACTTTCTGAAAACAACAGCCCATTGCAGGACTGCCACTTGGCTGGCCACACCACAACCCTTGTCCCCAGACCCCTGCTGATTAAGGGCACCCTGGGCTAAACACTGACGACACAACCGAATAAACACTCTTCTCAATTTTTTCAACCTGCCTTTGTACAATGCCTCGCTGATCAGAGCTCTAACAACATGCACAGGCAGGTCAACCAGGGCAGCCTGAAAGGTTCCCTGGTCCCCAGGGCACTCAACAAGCTTCTCGATGTCTGCTCAGCTGCCCTCCACAATGAATTTTCATCTTCAAAACAGAACTGTTGCTTCAGACACACCCTGCGACAGCTACCTTTTCAGGAAGCATTTCAGTATGTCTCAGTGTTTCCCTGCAAGATAGTAACCAAGAGTTAAGCAAAGTGAGGTACAGAAGGGCTCCCCACAGCCCCAAGTCCACTGTGAGAGGCCTCCACCCACTCATCAAGCCGGTGACTGCCACGGGAGAGGCACAGCAGAAGCTGGGAACCCAGCCTATTCGCCCTCTTTTCTCCCTGTCTGGAATGCTTGAGGTGAACCGATGGGATGCTTGGCCCTTCCAGGTTCAGATTTCTAGGGAGAAATGGCATACTACCTGATCAACCAATCCATGTGGCATACGCCTCCAGAGGAGTCCCTCCTCTAAACAAAGAAGAAAGCTCAGGGCAGACTTCTCCTTCTGATCGCACCAGGAGAGTATGACGAAGCACTTTCTCACACATAGCATTTGGTCTTCCTGACAATCCTGGAAGAAATGACTACTCCTGGTTCCCCAAAGTGGGAGCTGAGGCAGTGAGCAGCTGTGACCTGTCCAAGGCCACAGAGGTGAACACGGAAGAACGCCCCTACCCTCTATGCCCCAGTTGCTCCCTGAAAACATCTCTTCACAACATGCCTCACAGTTCTAGCATTTAGTCCTCCTTTTTGTTCAAAAGGCACCTACTGGGTGATGATCGTGTGCCAGGCGTTGTGCCGGGGGCTGGGGTAGAATGCAGAGCTTACGGTGGAGGAAGATCACAGTGCAGGTAAACAGAACATTATAGCGCTTTGGAGCAGGAATTAGGCTAGGGTCCGAATGGGATCCTGTAAGAACAGAGTGAAGGGGCATCTGACCTAGCCTGGAGGTTGTGGCGGGTGGAACAGCAGAGAAAGTTTCTCGGAAAGAGTGGCTCCTTGACTAAGTCTTCCTCACGGACTAGGAAGGAGGTGCAGGCAGGGCTGGAGCCCGAGTGGTCCTGACAGGGACGTTGCAGATTTTTGTCTCTGCTGGAGGAGCAAAGGGAGGCCCCTGAGGACTCTCGCCAAGGGAATGCACCCATGACTGGAGTCCTGGCTCGTACAGGGAATGGGAGAACAGACCCGGAGAAGGATTAAGGCTAGGACAGGCAGATGGGTCAAAGGGCTCAGTGGGGGGCCAAGGAGGGACGGTGCTGGCTGGGGGCAGGGGCGGGGGTGAGTAGGGGGTGGCAGTGGTGGGCTAAAGTGAAGTAAGCTGATTTAAGGGGTGACTAGGAAGAAAATCCACGTTCTGACCCATGAATTTAAAAAAACATCCAGGGGTATCCAGGTGCCTCGGTCGGTTAAGCATCCGACTCTTGATCTCGGCTCAGGTCATGGTCTCACGGTTCGTGAGATCGAGCCTCACATCAGGCTCCGCACCGACAGCGTGAAGCCTGCGTGGGATTCTCTCTCCCCCTCTCTTTCTCTCAAAATAGATAAGTAAACATTTTAAAAACTACAAACTAAATGAAACAAGCGTCCAGGGCTCCCATGCTTCCATCCTTCCCCACGTACCAACAATTGGGCAGGTTAAGGGTTATGCTGCCTTGGATGTTAGCTCCAAACTGCAGGTACCCCAGGCACCCCAGACTGATGTACAGGGCGGTGATGATGGCCATTCCCACGTACAGGATGACCGGAAATTTCTGAGGATCCTTCATTTTGTTTTCAAGGGGCAGAACCTATAAGAGTAGTGAGAAAGAAGAGAAAACACAGGAAAAAGGAACATTAATGGTGAAAAACAAAACTGTAATGGGCTCAGAAATAACTGCTTTAGCCCCAGGAGACAGAAACAAATCCAAGCTATTTCCTCAGAGCTGGAGGAGAGGCAGAGCCCACTGTGTGAGCCGGGAAGTGTGGGGAGGCGAGCGTGGGCCGGACTGGGACCAGGACCCCTGCCCAGGCCAGTGCTCTGCCTCCGGCTGCAGGAGCCCCATGGGCGGGGGGGGGGTGCTCTCTGCCCCTCAGCACAGTCGCACGGCCGCCGGCAGCCCTCCCACCTCATGCCCACCCGGCACAATGGGGAAAAGACCTCGCCTGAGACCACAGTTCTGCTAACCTGTCCGAAGAATGCAAAACACAGGTCAGGGAACACTGCCACTCTAGTTCCCGGAAACTTCACAACCTGCTACCACCTGCACCTGGCCGGGCTCACAAGGAAGAGTGACAGTGTCGAGCTGTCCCACAAACCATCTTTGATCTTGTCATGACACTCATTTTCCTTGAACGCTTGCGGTCACGAGGCAGAGTGGGTCTGTGCCAGACATACCCCGGCGGGCAGGGAGGGCCTGCTGCAGGCCCGGTGCCGTGAGGGAGCCACAGCCCTGCACTTCCAACCGGCCCTCAACACCACCCCCCCTCCCCCACCAGCGCAGGGGGCCTCCAGCTTCGGCTGATCCACATCCGGTTAGAAACAGTTGCTAAGCTTGCTTCCGGTTACCTTTCGTGGACAGTCTAGAGAGCCAGAGGGCAGGCAGCCCATCTCCCCCATGTCTGCCAGGCCTGGGCCAGTGGCACAAACACAGAGCCTACCATGAACAAAGAGTGAGCAGGGACCCTGCACCCACACACGCTCAACAGCCCTCAAATCCAAAGTAAGAGTCGAAACACAGAGAAATCTCAAGCAACAGATAATAATGATCACAGGATGACTCCACATCCAGGCCTTGGCTAATGAAAGGAAGCAAAGAACAACGTCTGCACTGTGCTGCCAGGGAAAACTGGTAAGTTCCGCACAATGCTCCTTCAGAACCAGGATCTCCAGGCAGCTTTCCACATTTACTCAATCTCTTCTTTCCAGTCCCAAGCACTTGAGAGCTCGTTTCTCACTGCTACAATACGGGGTTCTGTTTGTGTTTGTGAGTCAAGGTGAGACCATCTTCCTGGGCAGCGAGAAGCTCCAAGAAAGAGCAAAGGGAAAGGTGTAAAACCTCGGGACAACAACTTACACACTGATCCCTCAGAAAGTCTCCCCTGTGATGTTAGGGCCTTAACACATCACACCAATCCCACCAGGGCAACTCCTTAGTATTTTGACGAAAGAATCGATCCAGCTTCTAGGTTTTCTTAAAAGTATATCAAGTGACAGGGAAACCAAATGGGGATAAAAAGATATTCCATGAACGGAAAAGTGTCTTCTTCCTTTTCCTAAGCTGTTGGCCAACAGTACTACTAATTTTCTTCAAGGAAGAATTCTGGAACTTTATTATGAAAAAATATAAATAAAAATCAAATTAGGTGCAAATGAGTGGCAGATTCCTCTCTTTAGGAGAAGAACTTGGTGAAATCATAGCAATGGTGGGGGAAGCTAACTAGCAGTGAGAGCTAAGGCCATCTATCTACACACAAAAAAATATAGCACACCAATGTTCCAGGGCAGAGACATTATGTGCAGCTACTGATTTAATTCTAAAATCAATAGTATTATTAATAAAAATTATTAAATGCTTACTGTGTGTCAAGGGCTACGCAAAGCACTTTACACACATCTCATTGAATCCTAACAACTACTAATCATTAAGTTCACTTTTCAGAAGCGAACAACAAAGAAGTTAAGTCCTCACACAAGGTCACACAGCTGTTCTCTGGGAGAGCCAGGACTCACCCCCAGTCAGTCTGACTCTAGACCCTGCTCTCCCAATTGCCATGTATTATTGCTTATTGCCCACATAGGTGATAAATATGCAACAGAGAGGGTTTCAAGGCAAACATTCTCAAACCACATACAATTTGTTTCCAAAACCCCAGTGGAATCCCTGCACTGCTGTTCAGGAGCTGGCCGATAAGTTTCAGAAGATAATTTCTAACAGCATTTCCTCAGCCTTCCAAAGAGCAGACCTCAAGGACACCAAGGGCGACACAGAATCACAGCGACAAACTCTTACCATCCCAATGCCTTCAAACGCAAAAATGGCCGTGCCAAAGAACAGAGGGTAGGTCTTCCAGGGAGCCACCAAGGGGAGGTGGCTGGGGTCTGGGATATTCTGAAAGAGAAAATAAAACAAAGCAAAGGCTATACAGAGATTCGAGATTTGAACTCCAACATCAGACAGGTCATAACCTTTTCCTAGATTCAAGATCCTCTAAAAGGAGAAAGTCTGACACCTGACATGGTTCGGGGACATTTAGTCTTTGTATTTTTTTTCCCTTCAGGCTTAGAAAACCCCTATTTGCTTTGGGGAAAGACTATATCCCAGTGTACTATAAAAAACTCAAATGCTGGAGCTTGCATAAAAATAGTCACATTCTTTCATTAGGTAATCCCATCCCCAGAAATTGAATCCGAGTAGGGAAAAAAAATCAAAATATACATGCTTATTTATTTTTGAGAGACAGAGAGAGAGAGAGAGAGAGAGAGAGAACGTGAGCAGGGGAGGGGCAGAGAGAGAGGGAGACAGAGGATCTGAAGCAGACTCCAGACTCCGAGCTGTCAGCACAGAGCCCGACGTGGGGCTCAAACCCACGAACCGTGAGACAATGATCTGAGCCGCAGTCGGACGCATAACCAACTGAGCCACACAGGCGACCTGATTATGCGCTATTTTTGAAGTAAAAATTGAGATAACTAAGAGCACATGAAAAACCGCTTATGAAATGATAGTGAGAACATTCACTTTTAAAATTTGCACATTCACTATAATGCCACTATGTAAACACTCCACATGGATAAAGCTGCTTTTCTCTTTCTTTTAATTCTTATAAAAGAGTTTGAACACCTGAAAAATTTTATTGATACACACATGATAGGAGTATTGGAACATTAGGGATAAAATGGCAAAAAAAATAAAAAGCCATTTAAAATTATAGGCAGATGAAAACCATAGCACTTGTTAACTGCAGGTTAATGGAGGTGCAGACACAGAATCCTAGCTGGCTCACCACTGAACAACGGCCCCCAGTGACGGAGCATCAAAGGAACAGGACTCAACAGGGACAGGAGCTGTCCTTTCAGAATGCAGCTTTTGAAACCACGCGAATCCACGGCTTAAATATAAGAATTGCTTTTTAAGCTGCCTTTATAATGTTTTTTGTGGCACCTGGGTGGCTCAATCGGTTGAGCATCCGACTTCGGTTCAGGTCATGATCTCGCGGTCTGTGAGTTCAAGCCCCACGTCAGGCTCTGGGCTGACAGCTCAGAGCCTGGAGCCTCCTTCGGATTCTGTGTCTCCCTCTCTCTCTGCCCGTCCCCCACTCACGCTCTGTCTCTGTGTCAAAAATAAATAAACATTAAAAAAAAATTTTAAGCTGCCTTTATACTGTTTTAAAATTGATTTAACTATAGAGGTATTTAGACAAATACGGGGCATGCTCTAACAGTGTGACAGAATAGTACCAGTGAACAAAAGGTGATCTAACGTTAATCTCTATAATAGGCTTCTCTTTGAAAGTTTTCAAAGCAATTATATTATAGTTTCCCTAAAATATAATTTTAAAAATGCATTTTTTTTCCTTCCTGAGCTTCTTCTACTAATAAATTGCTTAGATCTCTTTATAAGAAGTATTTCAGTACCTGGAATGAAGACAGACTAATAAATATTTTTGCTCTACGATGAGACAAAGAGTGAAATTACAGTGCCTTGAAATTACTCCTGAGTCACAGTGTAACTTCTGGAAGCTTCCTGGAAACAGGAGCAATCTGTTGGTTAGCGGCTGACTGTTATCCAGGCTCATACATCAGATCTGGCTGAAGTATCAGAGAGGGAATTTCAGAATCCATGTCTGGGGATACTGGTGTGAATGAGACCAGCAGAAGGAATTTATAATTTTCCACACTTAATAATTGCTACTGACTTAAGAGACCAACCACTTAAGTGGAAAATGTTTAGGGGCACCTGGGTGGCTCAGTCAGTTGTATCTGACTCCTGACTTCAGCTCAGGTCATGATCTTGCGGTTCATGAGTTCAAGCCCCGCATCAGGCTCCGCACTGCTAGTGCTTGGAATTTTCTCTCTCTTCCCCTCTGTCTGCCCCTCCCCTGCTTGTGCGTGCTCTCTCTCTCTCTCTCTCAAAGTAAACAAATAAACTTTTAAAAAAATGGAAAAAGTTTAACGTGCAAAGAAACATACAAATTAAAATCAGCTCATTACCGACATATTACCTCCTCGGTTCTATGATATTATTAATTTCAGTGATAACAGCTTCCTGAGAAAATGCTGTTAAGTGTACATAAGGATTGCAAGATCTACTCCAATTTTGGAAATATCCTAACTATGAAAAACATTGCATCTCAGAATTAAGGAAATGCAGCGATAAAAAACATTTACTGGGAGCCCCCTCCGGGGGAGGCCCTCTGCTCAGAACCATGCCATCTGTCATTCCAGGTGGTGAAGATATGGGGAAGCCTGCACAGGTGGAGGATCTCGGTCGACTTCCAAGATGGTGTTTGCACGAGGAGCAAGCGCACCGGTCACACACGTTCGGGACCGCGGAAGGGTTCGGAAACACTGGACAGCAGAAGACGCCAAGACAAGACAGCAGCAACACAGCCACAAAAACGACCCAAAGGGAGCATCTTGACCTATGCACATCAAAATGATGCTGCTCGACTCACAGCCACAGCACCGTTCTCCCAAGCCACCCCAGCGCTGAGAGCACTGTGTGACCACACACGCCTCCTGGCTAAGCCCAGAGGCAGGCTCACACTCACGCTCAAGAAATTGGCGGGGCTGCCTCATCTGCAAGGGCAAGTTTGCTCTACGCACAGACAACGCTCTAAACGGACACTGCCTTCCACTGGGGCGGAGACACTGTTGGAAGCCACGTTCCCATCCCGGCCCTCTGATCACGGCAACCACCGCAGTCCAACGACTAAATGCAGTGTGTGTGCACGTCTATGTGAGGTGGCCTCGCTCGCTTTAATGTCCACTGCGGTGTGTCCTAGGCACTGATTCAGATCTCTAATTACAACGTTAAATCATGCATTTATTTACCCTTCCTTGTTTTAACTTAATTTGCCAGAGGTAGAGAAGAAAACTCTCTGGAAATGGTCAATCATGCGTTCATGGGTCCTCCTTCCATGCTCATCAAAAATGGGACATATCCAGATAGCAGTTTATTTTGTTCTTAAAAAATAGTTCTGCGGAAGAAAAGTCAGTATCGGCCACCCATCTGACTCACTAAGACAGAAGAAAAACGGTAAATGCTCACTGAGTACAATGTTAATCTAAATTCATTATGTCATTTCCTCAGTAGAGGAAAACCTGTTTCACAATGTGCTGCTTTCCTAGAAACCGTATCAGTGAGTGACCTGGTCACTGTTAAGTAGACCGTGTGAAAATGAGTTAATGTTCACCTGTCAGATTGACTAATATTAAAAAGATTGATATGTCTAGTGCTGGCTACTTACATACTATGGAAGGGAGCCTATATGAAATTGGTCAAAAGCTTTTGGAAAAAGCGACTTGGCAAAATAAAAATTCAAAAGTGCATACTCTTCAACAGCTACACCTCTAGAAAAATACCTTGGGGGAGTATTTCTACATGGCCACAAAAAGAAAGGCCTCAGAAAACTCACTGCCAGAATACTAAAGTAACACTAAAAAATTATAAACAACCTGACGGTCCACTGACTGGGGACTGGTTAAATAAACTAGGGCACATCTATTCTCTGAGATACTATGCAGCAATTAAAAAGGATGAGGTAAAACTACGTGTAACAACATGGAAAGCTCCCTGCCACGCTGGTGCTGTCCCGGAAACAAAAAAGCGAAGTAGAGGAACAGCACATCTAATAATTTTTAAAATCAGGTTAAACACAAAACAAAACATTCTTTTTTTTATATATTTCTCTACGTACTAGACACAATTCAAACCAGGATACTGTCTGTGTTATGTGTAGACGCATTCACAGGACCTAGACGGAGACAGACCAATCACACACAGTGAGTCTCTGAAAGAGCCTCGGGGTGGAGATGTGGTTTTCGATGCTCGTGTTGTCTGCATCTTAATGAGTATGCACTGATGAGTCCTTTGAGTAATTACATCTAAATACCTTTTTTTAAAGTTATGCTTTTATTCACCTGCTTTCATTCTCCTCTTTTTCTGGAGTGTTGGCAAAACACATGGTCTCGTCCATAGAGGGCCACGCTGTTTGAGGGCACATTTTTCTCGCCTCGTCTTCTACCCATTCACATACATCTTCTCTTGCACTGCCCCACAGACCTGCCCCCGTGGGCTAGGCAAGGGGAAGCAATACTGGATTTATAATTTTGACAAATAAATACATAACTGGAGTGGTAAGGAATTACTTTATCTGAATATCACGTTACAGGGGCCCCTGGGTGGCTCAGTCGGTAAAGCGTCCGACTCTTGATTTCGGCTCAGGTCGTGATCTCACAGTTCGTGGGAGGAAGCCCCATGTTGGGCTCTGTGCTGACAGCACGGAGCCTGCTGGGGATTCTCTTTCTCCTTCTCTCTCTCCCCCTCCCCCTGCTTGTGCTCTCTCTCTTCTCTCTCTCAAAACAAACATGTAAAAATAAATAAATAAATAAATATCGAGTTAGAGAAGTTGATTTTTCTTTTCATCTTAATATTTGTCTATTTTCCCATTACACGATGATCCATATATTAACTATCCAGTTGAGGAAAAGTCTAAACCAGTGATCTCAATAGGGGTGACTTGGCACGCGCATACCCACCCTCAGCACACTTTGCAATGTCTGGGGATATTTTTGGCTGGCCTAACTTGGGGAGTGGCTGCTACTAACAGCTGGTGGGTAGAGGCCAGGGATGCTGCTAAAATCCCACGATGCACAGGACAGTCCCCACGACAGAAAGCTTATCTGGCCCAAAATGTCAACAGTGCCAAAGTTGAGAAGCCCTAATCGAAATATACCACACGTAAGTAACATCTCCCTATTTATGTTCCACTTACTTGTTTTGTTTGCTGCTTTGATTATGTAACAGGCGGAGGGAGAGCCTGGGCTCTTACCTGGACAATGAACTGGTAGAGCATAACCAGGCTAACCAGCATGGTGATGTTGGCCAACAGAGAGAAGATGGACAGGGCTCGGAGGTTCCTGACAAAAACCAGCAGCACCAGGAAGGGCAGGAAGGTGAGCATGTAGAGTCGGGAGTCCATGGTGGGCGTCAGAATCACAGTCTCATTGTTGTGGCAGTTGTTGGTGGTCCCATTGGCCGCTTCGATCACCTAGAATGAGGGGAAGGAAAGCGACAGAAAAGTCTCTCAAATGACAGAGGCCGGTGGACCTCCCACCCAAAAGGGTTCCTAACTGGGGGCTCAGGAGGAAAACAACGCCATTCAGGAGTCTGTGGCTGGTGAACCATCTTCAGAGATCTTCATAACTGTCATCAGCAACCCAACTGTCTGAGGTGGGTTTGAGCACATCTTATCTAAACACAGGAGGATAGACAAGGTACCTGGAGGAAGTTTCTCAGTGTCATAGGTCTTTAGACAAAATTACACAAAAGACACCGTTCTACATAATGTGTTAAACTCTTAATTCTTTTGTTGACCAAAACTGGCTTAGAAGGAATCCTAAACTCAAAATCCACTTATCTCTTGCCATTCTCTCTCTCTCTGTCTTTTTTTTTTTTAAACCAGGGCCCTACCTGTTTAAAGTTGTCAGCCAGAAAGACAAAGTAGACACAGCAGAACCCCAGCTGCGTGACAATCAGGAAGAAGTCCACCAGGTGCCTGTAGAAGGGGAAGGAAAGAATACAAACATCATGAGAATGAAAAGCAAGAGAGTCCTGGAGACAGAGGTGTTCCAACAGTGCTTCTTCCCAGGCCGTCACAGCCCCTTCCCACCAGGTGACAAGGATGAGGGTGCCCTGACAAAAGGAGAAACCATGCAAGGTGCCACCAGTCTGGAGCTTTGGAGGAGGGTGAAGACGACGCTGAGGTCCCCTTCCTCTGTCTTCTCTAGAATGCTGCGTGGGGTCGGGTGATCCCGAGATCAGAATGGCTAGAGTGGAGCACACACCCCAGGACCAATGACCAGCCCTTGGCCTCCCCCTCCCCGCGGCCTGCCTATCCTGTCTCACACTGTTTGTTCTAAAGCTACAGGGAGCGCTCAGCATAAAAGCCCAGGAGGTGGAGCCCTTTACGCTCGCTTTCTATAATATGGATCTAAGAAACAGCCCACTTTCACATAAGTACACAGAAACAGATGTACCAAAACAGACAACTGATGGAAGCCCTGAACAATAGCTGGCAACAACCTAAAAGATCATCAAAAGGAAAATGAGTAAATGCAAGACCATTCTTAAATGGAGAGGTATACAGCAGGGAAAAAGAGTATGTTAAATCTATATGTGCTGATAGAGGTAGGTCCAGGACCTTTAACTGAAAAAACAAACAAACAAACAAAGAAAAAAACAGCTTCCAAATAGTACTTATAGTACTGTCAATTTGTGTAAAAAATGTTAAGAACATGTGTATGTTTGTATACGTACAGAAAATGCCAGAAGTCTACCCAAGCAAGTGTAACCAATAGATACTTTTATTTTTCACTTATGAACGTGTATCTTGCTCAAAAAAAAAAATTTACCATGAACAGACATTAATTTCATTAAAGAAAGGAAGGGAGGAAATAAGGAAGGAGGGAGGAGAAATGGGGAGAGAGAGAGAGAAAGAGAAACAGAGAGGAGAGGAGAGAGAAGAAAGTAGGGAAGGGGGCGGGGAGAAACAATCAACCAACTACCAGCCAACCAAATAACCAATGGTGGCCACTTGGCACGATGGCTTCTCCCAGTCACAAAAAATGATTCTGCTAAAAGAATCGCAAAATAAACCTGTATCACAGGAGGAAGCTATGTGTGAAACTATAAAACCTCCCTATGAACACAAAAAGGGAGTTTTCCTGGAGAACATAGATTTAATGCAGTTCCATTTAAAAAGAATGTAAAGGATTCAGCCTTTGATGTCAACTCTCTACTTCTAAATATACCATTTCCTCAAACAGGAAACAAAAATTAGAATATTTCTCTCCCGGCATCTGGAAACTTACCCTAAGGAGAAATTTCCAAACACTCCCCGCCCCCCTCCCCCCTTGAAATGTCTCTTTCCCCAACAAACCCATTTGTTCTAGCTCAGCTCATCTCTTCCTTAACGCCTTCTTTCTCCTGCCCGGTGCCCTGCCCTTAAAGCACCCATCATGTGCACTTTGCATCTGGCACAGGTAACCGTCCTTAAATCTCCTCCCTGTCTGAGCCCCTAGGGTGCGCTTCTAGCTTCTGACACTGTTTCTACAGGTATAGACTATTCCTGATCTCTTGTCCTTGAGCCTTCCACATACCCTTCTCCTTACAGAGACTACCAGTCCGCAAAGGGCCAGGACCACACTATTCACCCCAGGGGGACCCCCTCCCTGTATCGAGAATTATTCTGCATGACTTATAAGAGAGTGCTTAAATATCTTTACTGAACAAATGAGTGAATAAAAAATAATCACTGGTCATAGACTGCCAAAGCTGGGAACAGCCAGGTTGGCCAATAAGGAAACTGAGGACCAGAGAAGAAAGGGGTCACACAGCCAAGGTCACCAGATGACTGCAGGCAGAGCTGAGCTAGGAGCCAAATCCACTGACCCAAACAATGTTCTTTCCACTGCTTATACCGTGTGCCGCGCCCCACCTCCCTGTCGGAGGGCCTCCACTCTGCGAGGCCACAGCTGCAACAAAGGAGGTTAGTGGTTACCTTCCCCAGTGCGCGTGGTTCCGGAGCCAGGAGCTGGGGCTGGATTCCAGTCCGTACATCACTGTGTCCCCATAGTCCACAAAGGGCTTGTTCAGTCTGGGAGGAGAGGGAGAGAGGAAAGGCAGAGTGTGTGGGTTCAACAAAGTGACAGAACACAGGTAGCTCCCTGAGACCTGGGCCAGTTCCCCACCTGTCACCCTGGAGAAACTACTGACTCCTGCGTCTAATGCTTTCAAGGATCAGAAGTGTTAAATCAACAGGTCAGTTACTTCCATATAATTACCGACCATCTGGCAGAACCATTTCAGTGGGGTAAATACTACAAAGCACATAAAATGAGAATGCAGTCTCTGTCCACTGGACACAAGCAAATACGACAGATGACAACAAACTGAAAAAGAACACAAAAATAACCAGGGGAAGGGAGTTCTGCAATAATCAGCAGCCACCTGCAGCTAGCGCAGAGAATTTAGAGTGGCCTAAGTCCTCTCTTTCAGCGCGGCTAACAGAATCCCAAAGGACAACTTGGCATATCAGAGCGCTCACCTGCGGCAGAAGTGATGAGCACATTTCACCAGGATACCCATGCAGTGCACAGCCACGATGCCTATCACCAGCAGGCTGAGGGGACCCATCTGGGGACAGGTGTTGCGGGCAAGAGAGAGAGAGACAAGCAGGTAGAATTAGGAGTGAACCCAATGGAGAGTGGATTTGCAAATGATCAAAACACTACTAAGGCACCTTCCAGTGACAGAACATCTGGCACAACATTCGAGATAGGAATGTGATCGTGGGGGTTAGCTCGGGGAGAAGGGCATGATCTGAACCTTAGCATGCTTTCAAAAGAGTTAACCTCATGGAGAAGAATGACACAGCATAAGGCTGTTCCAAAACAGCTTCAATTCAGCCGAACAGAAGGCTCCTATGTTCTGGGAAGAAGAGACAGGCAAGGGGCGGAGGGAAGGGGAAAGGTCTCGTTAGGGCAACGCCAGATCAGGAAAAGATGCCCTTAGCTAAGGGCAATCCACATCTCTGAGCTAGCTCCAACTCTAAGAGAAACCAAATGGCTTTAGATTGCAGTCTGTAGGGGATGAATCATAACAGAAAAAGTAAAATTCTCAGAGTTGGCCTCCTAGGAGTGGGACGTGGAAGGACCGTGGAAGAAACCAACAGATTTCTGTTACGAGTCCATTACTTAATATTATTGACAGAAACTCCCTGAGACATTTTAAGTACTCCTCCTCACCCCAGAGTAAGCTACATGAGGGCAAGAATCTCTCTTTTTTATTCACTGATAACGCTCAGAACCCAGAACAATGTCAAGCACACACAAGGCCCTAAATAAATATGTTTAAGTGAATGAACACCTGAATTTTGCTTTTTCTCAGCTGAATTAAAGAGAAAAGCTTTTCATTTTTAAGTGTTTTAAATGAAGCAAATTTAAAAAAACACACACACCATCTCCTAAAATTTGTCATGATACTCCCCCTGCCAATGCAGATCCTTACCAAGATGCCTGCATTCTTCACTGCCAGAGGCAGCCCCAGGAGGCCGGTGCCAATGTTGCCTTTTAGCAAGTGGACCAAAGTCTGGAACCATCTGAAGTGGAAAGAAGGTAGACAAGGGCATGTTAACAATAATGACAGCTAACATTTACTAAGCATGTAGCCCTGTGCTAAACACTTTCATGCATTATCTCATTCAATGTCTACAACAACCCTATGAGATAGATGTTAACTTTGTTTTATGGATGAGGAAGACACTTGCTCAAGGTCATATACCTAATAAAGAGTTCAGCCAGGATTCAAACCCAGGCAGTCTGACCCACGAGCCCTCCCCTTGCCTCTGTGCTATGAGCTCCATTCCCTGTGGGATCTCCAAGAACCCCATCTCTATGGCACATTAGACCAGAGGGACACCACGGCTCTCTGTAGATGCTTTATCTTTTCCTAGTGGGTCTGGTGTGGGTTTCACCATAACTGCCCACTACAGAGACTCGTATCCAAAACCACAATGGAGGATGACAAGCATTCAGTGTGAAGGACAAGACACTGGTGTAAGAGAAAAACGAGGGACATAAAAAACAGAAGCCCAGAACCCTTAAAAGAAAACTGTATGCAAAGTGAACAGAGCAAAAGGAATATGGTACCACAAACAGCCAGTCCCTGGAATACTTTGTATTTAAAATTAAAAGTCGGTGGGAATGCAAGCTCTGGAAAACAGTATGGAGGTTCCTCAAAAAACTAAAAAGAGAACTACCCTACGACCCAGCAATTGCACTACTAGGCATTTATCCACAGGATACAGGTGTGCTGTTTCGAAGGGACACATGCACCCCCATGTTTATAGCAGCACTCTCAACAATAGCCAAAATATGGAAAGAGCCCAAATGTCCATCAATGGATGAATGGATAAAGAAGATGTGGTATATATATATATACAATGGAATGTCACTTGGCAATCAAAAAGAATGAAATCTTACCATTTGCAACTACGTGGATGGAACTGGAGGGTATTATGCGAAGTGAAATTAGTCAGAGAAAGACAAATATCATATGACTTCACTCATATGAGGACTTTAAGAGACAAAACAGATGAACATAAGGGAAGGGAAACAAAAATAATATAAAAACAGGGAGGGGGACAAAACATAAGAGACTCACAAATATGGAGAACAAACTGAGGGGTACTGGAGGGGCTGTGGGAGGGGTGATGGGCTAAATGGGTTAAGGGGCACTAAGGAATCCACTCCTGCAATCATTGCTGCACTCTATGCTAACTAATTGGGATGCAAATTATAAAAAAATTAAAATAAAAGAATCTGCATTTTCAAAAATAAATAAATAAATAATAAAACTAAAAGTCGGATTGGAGAAGCCCTCTTCAAACGTCACCTAGTTCATCATTCTGCCTTGAGGACAGATTTCCCCCTCACCTATTATAGACTGTCCATCTCACACTGTGATTATAAAGCCTATCCCACACCCTCATTCATTTTTTCACCCAGCAAATACCATCTGTTCTGTGTAAAACATTGTGCTCATACTGTGGTAGAAAGAAGTATGAATCAGATACGGACCTGGACCTCGGTCTCTAGAAATTAATAATGTTTCAATGAAAAAATACGGCAGATACATTAATAACCACCCAGGTAGAGAGACGCCTTCTTAAGATGTGCCCGGGAACAGTGTTCAGGGAGGGGGAGGCAGGTGAGGGTCCCAGAGTGGAGATCTGAGCTGAGTCCAGGAGGACAGGCAGAGCTTGCAAGGGTGCCCCTGGGGAAGAAAGGCCTGGAAATACAAAGCTAGAGAGAGACAGGGGGCATCAGCACAGAGGAGTGTGTTTCCTCAAGGACTGATAGCAGAGGAATGTCCTCATCTGCCATATTTTCTATCCCACTACCTCCAGAAGGATACAAAACAGGTCAAACATAGCCATCGCTTTGCCCCCAATACATAGACTCACTCAGGATTTGGCCTCTGGCACCATCTGGAAATTCTTCCGCACAAATACCCTAAATCCCTCCTAAATGATGTTTCCATATATTTCTTCAAATCAGCAATTCAGAAGAAACCAAAAGCAAATAACATATGTTCACTCGTAAAGACCATAACAAATATGACGTATCTCTACTCTCTGGAATGGAATTTTACTTTTGGTAAACTTTTTCCTTCTACCTCTAGGAAGAAGACCTCTCGACCTGCCTACTGTCCCCAAGTTTCTCAGGAAAGATCAAGAAAATGTCTTTGAATCTAAATGAGAAGAGGCTGAGCACTCTCCTGGACTATCCTGAGGAAACAGCCTAAGGACCACACGAGTACAGGGGTGACTGCTTAATTATCAGCAGCCAGGGACCAGAAGATTATAAGCAGGATGATAAGTGAAGCAAATGTCTACCTTAGCAAATGTTTAATCCACTCAAGGCAAAGGTAAGCATTGTAGCAGACCCACCTGCCTACCAGAGGCCTCCCCAAAATGCCTCTGAGCTGGGTTTTGTGGGAGACCAGGTCCCTATTAGCCCCGGTTCTGCCAGTAACTCTATACAATTCCCTTCCCTTGTCTGGACCTTAGTCTCAGCTGTAGAGTGAGGGGACTGGATAGGACAGCATCCTTTCCAAGGTCTCTTTAGCTCCGAAACACCAAGATTCTAAGCAACTGGCCAACATTACTCTCTTTAATCAATGGCCCCAAGCTGAGATTACCCAAAACCATGAGTATCACAAAATCAACTCCATGGACTGCAAAGTCTTAACTATGGGGAGTACAGGGAGGAAACCTTGCAAATCTCTGTAGTTCAGTTTATGTTCCAGATCAGTAGTTCTTACACTTTTTGGTCTCAGGAACCCTATATATACTTATAAAGTATTAAGGATACCAAATAGCTTTTGATTATATGGATTATGTCTGCTGATATATATTACAAATTAAAATTGGGAAAATTTAAAATATGTATTGATTAATTAATTAAAATAACATATTAATAAAATAAGTAAATTCTATTTTAAATTAATTTACTTAAAATTAAATTAATTTATTTTTTAAAAAAAAATTTTTTTTTCAACATTTATTTATTTTTGGGACAGAGAGAGACAGAGCATGAACAGGGGAGGGGCAGAGAGAGAGGGAGACACAGAATCGGAAACAGGCTCCAGGCTCTGAGCCATCAGCCCAGAGCCTGACGCGGGGCTCAAACTCGCGGAGCGCGAGATCGTGACCTGGCTGAAGTCGGACGCTTAACCGACTGCGCCACCCAGGCGCCCCAAAATTAAATTAATTTAAAAATAAAATTATATGTTAATATAAATAACAGATTTTTAAATTTCTTTTTTCTTTTCTTTTTTTGTTTGAGGGAGAGAGAGAGTGTGTGCAAGCAGAAGGGCAGAGGTAAAGGGAGGGAGAGAATCAAACAGGTTCTACGCTTAGCATGGAGCCCAACTGGAGGCTCCGTCCCATGACCATGAGATCAAGACCTGAGCTGAAAGCAACTTAACCAACTAAGGCACCCAGGCGTCGCTATAAATAACAGATTTTTTTTTTAATGAAAAGTAATTCTATTTTCCAAAACGAAGACTGGTACTAATTTACGGTTTTTTTTTGCAAACTTCTTTAATGTGTTGCTTGATAGCTTCACTATCTACTTCTGCATTAAATCTGTTGTGATATGTTGTTTTGGTTGAAGTACACGAAGAAAATTTGTCCTCACAAAGACATGCAGTTGGAATGTGTTTTAGTAATCTCTTTAGACGATTATGGTAGTTTTCGTTTGATACTTGACATGTAGTTGTTTCTTAGAAGTTAGTTACAACATGGAGTCTGGCCTTTTCAATATCATATCAGATCAAAAATCTACTGGTGATCTTGCCCTTTGCATGAATCTTTCACTCACACGCAATTTTCTAATATCAGGCTGGCCATTTGGAAGATACTGGTTCCCTGAGTTATGCAGATCTTCCGAGCACTGGCACATTTCACTACACAATATCAGAAAAACTCACGTTTATTAATATCACTGAAGTTTTTTTTTTTTTTTTTTTTTTTAAGGGAGAGAGCGAGCACAAGTTGGGGAGAGGTGCAGAGGGGGAGAGAGAATCTTAAGCAGGCTCCACACTCAGCATGGAGCCTCACATGGGGATCAATCATACGACCCTGGGATCATCAACTGAGCCGAAATCAAGAGTCAGATGCTCAACCAACTGAGCCACCCAGGCACCCTACTAGCCTTTAAGTAGAGGGAAGCTGTCAAGGTCAGTGTTGGATACCAGGTTTTTTTCTAGTTTTGCTTGAAAACTTAAATTTTATTGTGGACCACAAATACCATTGTTTTTCATGAGGTTATGCCAAGTCCTCAGGCCTGAATAACCTACAGCTTGTAGTTCAGAGGTAGTTGAGTTCAGTAACTCAATCACTCAAGGTCTTGTCCTTGAGACAGGTGTCATACTTTGGTATGCAATAGAGGTATTTCACATGTACTTCCCATTTTGTCACGCAGATTATTAAACCTGCACTGAAGGATTCAGTGATAAAATGAGTAATTTGACTGCTTCATCAAGGACCTGCTTACGTGAAACTGGCTTATTCTTTGTACACGTGTGGCAGAAAAAAATACGATGACTGGCATAAGTTGGTAGTATTGCCTTGATTTATGCTAACGCACCAGCAATTTTACCCGCTACTGCTGCTGAACCATCAGTGTAAATGCCAACACAGTGAAAAGGCAAATAACATGTTAGCATTATTATGAAAATAGTTTCAGTCTCACAGACTTCTTGAAATGGTCTTGGGAACCCCAAAGAGTCACACTTTGCAAACAGCTGTTCTAGATAACCTAGAGCAGTCAACTGGTTTCTCAGCCTGCCGGCCTGGGGGAAAAGGACCCAAGCTCAACCAACAGCTGGTATAATGTAACTCAACAGGGCAACAAGAAGAAAAATGCCCAACAGAGTAAAATGAGGCTGTTGTCAAAGCAGTCAACGGCTTGGCAACACCAAGTGTTAGGAAATAAACTCACTAAACACACCATTATGGAAGTGTCTGGGGTTCCAATCTGCACCCCTGATTAGGGATTTTTCTTGAGCCCTTAACCCTTAGAAGAGCCAGGTATATGCAAGCATGTACTTTATTCCTTGCGTTTTGTTCCTTGTACTTTGTTCTATGTTCTTTGCTCCTGGACAAAGCAGATAACAGGGTGGGGCAAGGCACAGTAGACAAGGACTCCGGCTCAAGAGCTTGTCTCTAACACCCTGATATGTGAGAGATCCACCTGAGCTAATGAGGTCTCCTGAATCAGCTTATATCTTAATGACACCTGGCATGCTTTCTACACCTAAATGCTCAGGTGGATCCAGCCTGAGTAACCAGCTGGTTACTCAACCAACCCTCCCAGTCCCAAGGGAGTACTTTTCCCTCTCCCACTTGTGATACTGGACATCACTTGCAGATGGGCATTCCTGGTCACCTACCCTATAGCACAGTATCAGGGCAGGATAGGCCCTCACAACAAAGTATACCCAGGAAAACATCCCAGTACAAGCCCAAGGAAGGTATCTCCTGATTTTCTCAATTTCTAACAAGCAAGGAGAAATAGTTTTGGGTTGATACTAGTTATAACGCAATGTGAAAAAAAAAAGATATTCAGAATAGCTAACGGGCACACATAACTTTCAATACATACAAAACTTGTAAGCTACCATCCTGAAGTTGCTAGTGGTTGGTTTTGAACTTCAGGGAGGTCCCTTTAAAAATGAAAATCTAGACCCCATATGACAAGCATTACACAGACAAGCTGATGCCTGATGACAAGAGCAAAAACTGGAAGAGAAACTATAGAGAGAGAAGCTTGGAAAAACAATTGCACAACGGCGTATGACTTCTGAAGGGAAGCTATCACATGTCAATGGCTGCATTTGGAGCTCCTTCTGCCTGGGGGGAAGCCAGCTGGGAGGATAGGTTAAGGAAAAGAGGGCAGAGATGGTCCTCACTGCCGCCAGTTGTTCTCTGCACAATCTTTCCCATCAGCTAGCACTGCAAGGAAATGGGGGAATCTACAAAAGCATGGCACATGAGACATAAGCGATAGAGACTGAATCTTTAGGAGCAGAAATCACCTAGTGGTAATGTGGACAGAACATATCTTCTGGTTCTATCCCAAGAGAAAATGCCCTGCCCCAGGAGAGCCTGCAGCCAAAGGGAGCTTCACCAGTAATGACCTCCAAGAGAAGCTTCAAGAGCCTCCTTGGGCAGTCACATGGGACAAGTCTAGCACATAAAGGATCCCTCAGTTAAGTCACACCCAACCCACAAAGGAACACAGAAAGGGTAACAGCTAAGCCTGAGGAATAAACAGAAGGGGTCAAAAAAGATGGAGAAAACATACTTGAGGTTCAGGACTGAGTATGAAAACTCAGTGGGGTAGAAAACCCTCTTCTGAACCTTCTAATTCAAGTGGGTAAGCACCAGACAGTCAGCATACCTTCACAGTGGGGTCCTCAACTTTCTCTTACATTTGGAGAAACTGAGGCCCAGAGAGGGCACTCAGATGAGCCTTGGGATTCAGTTTCCAGGAATAAAACTCAAGCCCTCCCTAGGCAATGCAAAGCAGACCTCCTTTCCTCAACCTCTTGAATTTTTCAAATGCAGGAGAAATTATTCCTTCCTCCCTCTTACCACTTCTTCAACCAAATGAACTGGCTGTTTCATGATGGGGACAGAAGTCTGGGCAAGACTCTGCAAAGGAAGCTTCCAATTGAGCCTAGAGGTATTTGAGGTTCTAAGACAGATGACCCATGCTTCTGAATTAAGAGAACGTTCTCTCTAGAAGTTTCTCTTACATTCAGCACCAGCGTTCGGGGACCAACGCAGCTGAAAGGAGCAAAGAATATAAAACAGATGGGAAGGTGGCTGGCAAGGAACTCAAATCTCAGCACTGTTACTCACCCAGTCTCTTTATATCTTCCTTCCATCTGGAAAGTGGGGAGCTGATAAAAATGGGGGGACAAAAATACCTCTAAGGGAGACTACATTATGAATACAGAATGTAGAAACATGAATCCCACCCAGGAGGGTAAAGAAACTTACGTTGTGCTGTTGCTTTCCCCAAACCGCTGGTAAGAGCCAGGGGAAGAGAAGTTGTTTAGGCCTTCGGATGGGCTCTCCTCTGGGCTCACGTCCGTGGAGCTGTAGTCATTGTAATCCTCGTTCCGAAGTCTCTGCGTGGACATGGTAGCTGGAGGGACAGGGTCAGCGCTAAGACCTCCAGAGGCCGGGGCCTTTAGCTCCAAGCCTGTGGTGGGCTCTGGGGCAGGAGCAGCCATGGTCACAACAGCTCAGTGACAGCTGCACTATGCATTAAGTACAGTGACAGTGCCTGATACCAAGGGAAATGGAAAAAGTGCAAAGTACACATGGGCGGGCTGAGCTCACTCAGCTTCTGTCTCCCAACCTTTCCAGTTAGTGCCCCACTCATAAATTTCTAAATTTGCCACCGCACACCTGGACAGAGCAAAGGTGAGGCACTGCCCGGGATGGGTGGGTAAGATGCAGACAGGTGCTTCCAGGAAGCCTTCCCCGTTCCTTAGGTTGGGAGTAACTATCCCCTCCTTTGAGCTAATTTCTTTGAACCTTGAACAACAGTTATATGGTATCTCTGCCCATCTTCCCCAGGAGCAAGCTCTCAGAGGATGGGAACCTGAATATCCCTCACTGCATCTTATTTTTCTTCTGCGTGCATTAGAAAAAGGACTCTGTTGCATTCAAGGAACCCCCTCCAAATCATCCAAGCCTGCTCAGATTCCCCACCAGGTTCCAGAGCCACAGCTGACTTCCTCTCCCTCTCCACCATGCCCTCTGGCCCGGCCTGTACTTTTTGGAGGTCACCGGCGACCCCCATCCCCTTTTCTTGCAACCAGCCTGAAATGCAAGCAGCTCAGCGGAAGAGCAGGAGGATGAGAGGGCTCTCCATTGGCCCTCATCTCAAGACCTTCCCTCCACAACTCCCCTTGTTTTTATTGTTACGGATTTGCCAACGTTTTAAAGATGGTGAAAGAAAAAACCCTTTGTGTTGTGTGTTGGGGAAAGATGGCGAGGGTATCGTCCCCAGGGTGGATTTTCTCAGTAATGCTACTACAGAAAAGAGAACAACGACTCCTCTGATCTACACCAGAAGGATACATTTGGGCAGTGCCGGAAGCCTCCAGAATCCTAGGCGCTACACTAAAAGAGCCCTCCGAGGTCGCTCCACAAACTGTGCATTTGACAGATGCAGAATCAATCCCAGAACGATGAAGGAACCTGTCTGCTACAGCCAGGTAGCAGCAGAGCAGGAAACATATATTGTGCTGCCCTGCCCGAACCTGGAAACATCTACTGAATGCACTGCCACTGGCAATGAGGGAATATTACAATGAAAGGAAGCCAACTTCCTGCCCTCCAAGAATCTGCAATCGAGTGAGGAAAGGAAGGTACACGTACATTGAAGATTACAAATAAAAATCCTTCTGACACTGGCAGACTGGCATACCTGCCTCCCTGTGAGTGGGCTCTTCCCCAGCCTAAGCCCCGGAGCCTGACGTGCTGTCTCAGATACCTGGTAAGGAGACAGGAATGACGGGCATCACAATACCATCTTGCCTAGCCCCCAACACTAGCTGCCAGAGGACAGCTCTGTGCTGAGTGTTCCCACAGGTCAAGTCCCAGGGGACTCTTTGGAAACTGGCCCTACTCTGGCACCTAAGAGATCCAGGGTGATCTCATTTTCTCCCAAGTGTAATGGAGAGAGGACCCACATAACCCCACAAGGAAAGCGCCTGGCAGAAAGCCAGTAAGGGCTGTGGAAGTCTCCCAGAGGATCCTGCCCAGCTTCACCACTAGGGCGACTTTGTTAAATACCTAAGAGGGCATCATTTACTCACAAGCCAGAGGGATTCAAAGAAGTCTTCTAGTTCTAGGGCAATTAAACTCATAAGAGGATCAGGGGGAGAAAATCTGTAAAATATCTTAACATGACAGTTGAAAGCTGCTATTTAGGCAAGAGCTAATAGGTGAGGTTCTATGTATGGCAGAAGGCCTGGGTTCTAAGCCTGCCTCTCTCGCCAGTTTCCTTACTAACTTGGAACAATTCTTTTATCCCAAATGTGCAGAAAGGGGTAGAGGGCAGTGAACTGAAAGATCTGTCAGCTTCTCTCTAGCTCCAGTATCCCAAAAATCAACTAATTATTTATGCAAACAGAAGAGAATTTCTTTTCCAACATACCAAGTGTCTGAGGAATAGAGCCATCCAGGTGACTCATGCATATTACTGAGGGAGAAGGGACAGAATACGGGGACTGACAAATCCCCCTACTCCTCCCCAACAACCAGGAAACTGCTCTATTGATTACTTGGCACAGATGCTCAATTTATTTCAAATACTGCAAAGAGGTGTCTTTATGTTGTATATAAAAACTGAAGTTACCCACAGCACAATATTGGTAAGAAACTGCTCAAAAAAAGAAGCTGAAATCTATAGATCTGAAGTCTGAGAAACAACCACAGCACATGGGAGATGTGGCTTGGCCACTGCACGCATGCTGCAAAGAAAAAATTAACACTATTTATGGGTTTTAGCTGATGATCAGCTTAACAGAAGTCAACGATTTAATAACAGATGCCAAATAAGCTAATTCTAGGTTGCACTAGGATGAGAGAGAACCCCCGGTAGTCGACAGCACTGTTTTTGCCACGCACCATATTCTGTTCCAGGCAGTACACTATAAACAATGCTAAACTGTGGTATAGTGAGGGCTCACCACCAACAGGAGGAGGGAGTGGAAAACACCTAAATGAGGAACGACTAGAAGCAATGAGAAAGTTCAACCTGGAGAACTAGCAACTTGGGAGGTATAAAAACTGCTTCCAAAAGCTGTCCTATGGGTAACACTTGTCCTGTGGGACCTCAAAGATGAGTCAGAAAGAGGGTCAGGAGGTGGGAAGTAGAGGGAGGCAGGCCTGTGGCTAGACATAAGGAAGAGCCTTTATCAGAAGGAGTTGTCCAATGGAACAGACTGCTCTGGGAGACAATGTGTTCCCCACCCCTGGGACAGTCCAAGCAGAAGACCTTTCTCAGAGCGGTGAAGGAGGGGTCCAAGCGCTCTAGAGGGTGCGGGCAATCACTCCTCGGAGTTCCTTCTATCACTCTTTCTGGCCATCAAGGCAGCCTCCTCTTGCTCTCTAGCTGTCCACACTGAGTGCTAGCCTCCAAGGCCACCCTGCCTCTGGGCTCCCTTTGATGAAACCTGGCTTCCAAGTCTATTGTGCAATTGAGATTTCTGCCCTGTGGGAGATTTTAATAGCACCTGTTAACTGTTTAAATGAGGGGCAAAATATGTGAGAATTCAAGACAAGCTTGTCCTTTATTTTAGGCTCTCGAGGACAAAGAAGAGAGTTTATACATTATGTGTGGCCCATCAACACAAACTCAAAATCTTCATTAGATACCTATACGCAAAAGAGTGAACACTACAAAGTAAGAAAAGTCTACACGTGCGGTGGGAAAAAATTTTTTTCTTTAAATATACATTCAACCAAAATTGCAGTGAAATATCAACTATCTGTATAATCTTAATAAATTTTACTTTTTTTTCCTTACATAAACTATTTTTTAGTTAGCAATATTCTCATTATTTGAAGGTTTTCCCCCACTTATTTCATATCTACTATTCCCTGAATCCGTAAAGTACACACACTAATGATGTGTAGTTGCAATATAAGAGTCCATCATTACATTGATATAATAATTTGCTTCGCTAGCTCCCAACTGTTGGATATGAAGCTTATGCTTTCTTTCTTTTTTAAATCTCTTCCATCACATCTAATAGGAATTCATACACATAGTTTTTTTTAATTTTGGAGATACGCTTTTGGAGTAAAACTAGGTGAATACACTCATTTTTATGGTCCTTGCCACACAAATGATTGAACTAACCTATAGTGTCACTAGGAATATGACTGTCCTTCATAACTCTGCCAATGTTGGCTTTTATCATTTTTGTTCTTTTAAATGGAGGGGTGGTCCCTTGTACTTGTTTTATTTTACATTTCTCTGATTTCCAGAAAAATAAAAACTGAGCATCTTTCATCCACCTATCGGCCTCATAGTAAGTCACTTTTGAAAATATGAAAATGTTCTCAAAATAACCAAATAAGAGTTTACTGGTTGGTTTCTATTCCAAATTCAGTACAATAAACAAGGCCAATTCCAACAAAGGAAGGAGAGTCCACCTATACATATTTATAGCTCTTCTTTGGGGCCTATGGGAAGGTAGGGGAGGGAAAAAAAGGAATGAAGGGACGGAGAGACAGTACTAAAGTGTTATTTATTTAGCTTCATTATCAAAAACTGAACAATACCTTTATGGGTGCCTTGTAAACACATAAAAATTATCCACTAAAAACTAGGACAATTAATAAGTTCAGCAAATTTGCAGGATACAAGGTCAATATACAAACACTAGTTGTATTTCTATGCAATTGCAAGGAACAATCTGAAAATTAAGTTGAGAAAACAGTTCCGTTTACAATAGCATCAAAAAGAATAAAATTCTTAGGAATGAATTTAAACCAAGTAGGTATAAGGGTTGTACATGAGAACTATAAAATATTGTGGAAAGAAGTTAAAGGCCTAAAAAATTGAAAAAAACATCCCAATGTTTACGGTTTAGAAGATTCAATGTTGTTAATATGGCAATATTTCCTAAACCGATCTGCAGATTCAGTGAAGTCCCTATCAAAATCCTAGTTGCCTTTCTGCAGAAATTGACAAGCTGATTCTAAAATTCGTATGGAAATCCAAAAGGCTCAGATTAGCCAAAACAATTTTGAAAAAGAAGAACAAAGTTGGAGGACTTCCCAATTTCAAAACTCAGTACAAAGCTACAGTAATCAAGACAATATGGTACTGGCATAAGGATAGACATACAGATCAATGGAACAGAACTGAGAGTCCAGAAAGGAACCTTCACATCTATGGTCAATTGATTTTTGACAGGGTGCCAAGATAAGTCAATGGAGAAAGAATCATCTTTTCAACAAATCGTGCTGGGACTACTGGATATCCACACTGGAACTCTACCTCACACCATACGTACAAATTAACTCAAAATGGATCAAAGACCTAAACACAGGAGTGAATACTATAAAACTCTTAGAAGAAAACATAAGTGTAAATCTTCATGACCTCAGATGAGGTAGTGGTTTCTACATATGACAGCAAAATCACAAGCAAAAAATAATTGGTAAATTAGACATTATCAAAATTAACAAACATTTGTGCCTCAAAGGACGCCATCAAGAAAGTGAAAAACAAGCCACACAGTGGGAGAAAACTTCTGCAAATCATATTTCTGATCAGAGACTTAAATCCAGAAAATACAAACACTGTTACAACTCAATAATAAAAAGACAACACAATTAAAAAATAGGCAAAGCATCTGAATAACTATTTTGCCGAAGAGGTGGAAATGGCCAATACCACCTGAAAAGATACTCAATATCACTAGCCACCAGGTAAATGCAAATCAAAAACCACAATGAGATACTACTTCACACCCACCAAGATGGCTAAAATCAAAGACAGATAATAATAAATACTGGTGAAGCTGTGGAGAAACTGGAATCCTCTAACACAGTTGGTGGGAATGTGAGATGGTGTAGCTACTTTGGACAAAAGTCTCACGGTTCCTCAAAAGGCTAAATGACCCAGCAATTCTACTCCTAGGTATATCCTGAAATGAAAATGTATGTCCACAGAAAAACTCGTACACAAATGGTGATCCCAGTATTATTCCTAATAGCCAAATGTGAAAATAAACCTGATGAATGGATAAATGAAATGTGCTGTATCCACACAATACTACTTAGCAATAAAAATAAATTAAATACTGACATAATACAAAATACAAAAATAAATTAAGTACTGACAAATACATGTGACAACATGGGTGAACCCTAAAAACATTCTAGTTGAAAAAAGTCAGTCACAGAGCACCATATATTATATGATTTTGTTCATATGAAAGTCTAGAACAGAAAATAGATTATTAGTTGCCTACGGTTTAGGGTAGGGAGTTAAGAGAAATTAGCAGTGACACCTAAGGGACAGAGTTTCTTTTGGAGTGATGAAAATGTTCTAAAATGGATTTTATGCACATCTCTGTGCATAAAATTTTATGCACATCTCTGTGCATAAAAGCCAGTGAATTGTACACTTTAAATGGCTGAAGTATATCCCATGCCATTTGAATTATATCTCAATAAAACTGCTTTAAAACACCAAACAGATTTCTGACCCCAGTCTGATTCAACATGAACAGTTTATTTTTAACCAGCTTCCTAGATGATCCTGATTACAGATGGATTCACACTAAGCACTAGAAAAATACATATGATGTTATTATGATAGGTGTACACCAGGCCTCACCTCCTACCAGAGTTCATGGATTGGTGATATTTGCAGACTAAAATTGCCACCCATTATTCCTAAACAATTACATTGGGTTAGACTTTGGAACCCAGAGAAACAGCGAATTCTCTAGACGCGTTTTCTTTTCTCTGTTGCTGGGATTCCAAAGTCATGAACAAGGACACAGATTGTGTTGCTATCTGTGATCTACAAGGAGGAAAGTGAAAATCTCTAACTTCCACGTGATCTGCTGTTTTTAAAGGGCATCAGATAAAACTCCATCTAACCTACCACAGAAGTGCATTCCATAATTTGACTCCTGCCTAAATGAGCCTGGTGAGAGGGCTGCTGACCTCAGCAGTCTCTGCCCAGGAGGGGCTAAAGACGCAAACATGCTCACTTTTTACCCACAGTCAGAAAGACCACTAAACGTCAGAACCAGGCGTGACTTATAGAAGATAAAGCCCCAGCTTCTCATTCAAAGGTGAGAAAACCAAGGCCCCAGCTAGTTAAAGACTTGGGATTAGAATATAACCTTCCAGATTCTTAGTGTTTCTATCACACCATAAATTCTCTCTCCTCCCTGCCATCTTCCCTGGAACAAAACTGGGGCCAGGATTAGGTGTGCATGGGGAATTCTGCATAATAAAAGACACAACAAGCTCAGAGTTAGATGTGATTATCACCGCAGAGAAGTTCAAGAACAAGAAGTCAGAAAGGTCACTATGCACACCTATGGTTCTGCAGTTCTTTTCCATTCCATCACTCTTGGAATGAGTCCCCATTTTGGAAATGGTGATCTATGTGCCATGAGCATCCCAGTAACCCAGATAGATTTCTGACTTCACGGAATAGGGAGGCACAGTGGAGTATTTTCTACTGGAGAGGGTCATTGAGAACTGGCCCTGGGTGTTAAGGCTTCCGAGAGAAATGTTTGGGAGATAAGAGATGGCACCAAATGCAATATGATGTAGTTTCTATTCTGGTACATTTAGAATGTCCCATCCACTGGACCCCACACCCATAAAACAGCTAGCTTTGTGTACTTAGACCCAATAAGGCCTGGCTTAAGGAAGGCGCCTCAGGATTCCTCCACGGCCCCGGACGAGGCAAAAAGACTCAGTGTGAGTTTCCTCTACGGGACAAAGAGAAAAGCTATCCTAGGTGTTAGTGGTTGTCAGCCAGTCACACACTTCTGGAAGGGGTTATCAGAGCCAGGCCAGCAAAAGTAGAACCCAAAGTCCATTTACTCAGCCCAGTTCTAGGACCTTGCTTTCAGGTCATGGTAGAAAGAAATGTATCATTAACAGCACAATGACTCTTCAGAATCCGACCTTGGGAGAGATATCAAGCATTTAAAGAATTGAGACACTCCCTGGGGAGGGAGGAGGAGGAATAATAAAAAAAAACAATTAAAATTAAAAAACCAGGAGGGGTACTTAACAGATGAGACAGAGGGGAAAGTAACGTGTTCACAAAAGTGGCCATCTGTCCTACCCACCCTACTTCACATTCTCCATGCTAACAAGTTCAGTCCTAGAATTTCACAGAACCCCTGAGTTGGAAGAAAACCTAACACTCTATCTAGCCCAAAGCTCTACCCAATACAATAATCTAATCCATGACATTCCCACAAGTAATTGCCAAGGGACAATTATCTCCAGTGACAGGGAGCTCCATGCTCTGTGTTGCCGCATGAAAGAGCACTTATTCTTAGAAAGTTCTTCTGCTCACCCAAAAACCACTTCCCTTTCGGCACTTGCATCCACTGGTCCTAGTTGTAACCTCTGGAATACTGCAGAAGAAACGGAATCTGCCTTTAGAATAGACAGACAGCTCCAAGCCCGTCACGCTGCCACAGAGGTGACGCCGAATGAACGGCCACGCGGTTTAAAGGGAAAATAAGGACTCAACAGCAGGTGATTATAAATGGCACCATCAGCAAACAAAGGAAAAGAGACTTAATACCATCATCGCAGCAGCCTCTTCTTCATACAGCCTCCACCCCACAGTCTCAAACTCAGAGCAAAAGATCCAGTCTTTTGTGTTCCCTTTACTTCTTGACAACAAAAAAATATTTAAAGAAAACATACTCTAAGTGCACATGTGAACGACTATAGACTAGGCCCTTGACAAAGAGTCAAAGAGGGGCTTGATCATGTTTAAAGTGATTAAAGACCGTCAAAATGACTTTCAGCGGTCAGCATTTATCTTGGACATAATACAGAGATAAGAAGAAAGAGGAGGATTTCATGGCAACCCAGAAATAACTGAAGTAGGGAACCGCTTCCTGGACAACTGGATTAATCTTTGTTGCACAGTGATAGTACTACACACAGGGGAAAACCCTCTTTGATTAGAAAACAAACAGACCCCGATGCACCGAATGTCAGAGCAGACGAGGTCCTTAGGGATTCAACTTCATCACTGTACAGGCTGGGAAACCTACACCCACTCCAGGATGGGAGTCACCCAAGGTTGCAAAGCAAGTGTCAGAGCTAGAACACAGTCTCTCAATTCCCCAATCTCGGCTCTTTCCGTTACACCATGCCGCTATGTTATTTTAGCAAGCCTCAAACGACTGCAAGCAAGTAACCAGTATTCCCCAAATGACACAAGCTACAGAAAACATAAAGCCAAGGCCTTTGCATTCTTCGAGTTAATGGCCAGGGTGTTCCACAGCCCCAGCTACGAGCCACCTTCTGCAATTCTTATCTCATATCTCAGTATGATTTACACAAAATTGCAGGACGGTTAGAAGCAAAGCCTCCAGAATGATGAGTCTGCAGAAAAACCGTGAACACTGAAACAGGGAACCACACCCAGAGCCAAGCCAATCCGGGAGATGGAGACCGTAGAGCTAAAAAGGCAGAGCTAGAAGAGAAGAGGACAGGAAGAGGGTGCCTTTCCACATGTCAAGTTTTCCGCAGGAGGCAGTGTGGGGAAAGGCGAACAGCCGCTGGAGGTTGGGGCGCAGGTCTGCCACTAACTCACTGGGTGACCTTAGGCAAGCCCCAACCCCTTCCAGATCCTCCATTTCTTCAACTGTCCTAGAATGGGGTTGCACCAAGTGATTTCCCAGGATCCCAGTTCTGGTATTCTATGACCCAAAGACCCACTATTAGCAAGTCCCCGGCAGGGCTCCCACAGGGCCGGTCACTTGTCCCAGGCGACAGGACCCCCTTGGGAAGCGTGGAAGAAGCCCTGGCTGGTAGGTAGGGTGACCTTTCTCATCTGGGCACCTCAGTTTCCCCACCTGTCAAACGGCAGGGGGAGGTCAAGGGATAGAGCGCGAGGGAAAAGGGATTCTCCAGTTGGCCTCATCCTGGGAGGGGTGCCCGCATCTTACCGCGGCTGAGGCGGGGGAGCCGAGGAGATTCGGACCTGCACCCCAAGCCGATCGGTGCCTGACCCGGAGCATCCGCTGAGCCCCAGAGGAAGGCGAGGTGGGTCCTGCAGGAGGCGGTGACGCGCCGTCAGCCCCGGCCCATCAGCGCGCGGACGCACCGCTCGGGCTCCGGCTCAGGCTCGGTTCCGGCTCTGGCTCCCTCTTCAGCTCAGCCCACCGGTCCCCGCCTCAGCTCGGAGCCCCAGCCATCCCCCCCCCTCCCACCTTTGCTGCCGGGGCAGCCGCTTCCGGGCCCCGTCACGTGATCCCGGCTCCCCAGCCGGAGACCCGGGTCACGTGTTCCAGCGCGTGGCAGCTCCCCTCCACCGGGGAAGCTCCGGAGCCCGGCTCCGCAGCACCACCTGGCGACCTGTTGCTGACACGGCAGGCAGGGCCAGGGGCCCGGCAGAACTGGGCGGGGCTTTGAGCTCGGAGCGTGGCTGGCGAGTCCCCAGAGCTCTGTCCCCTGAGCCATGCGCTCATTTCTGCACATGGTGTGCTTTCCTTAACACGTTTCGGGGAGCGTATGTTGCTTTTATAATTAAAAAAAAATACATCTTTTTAAAAATCCTCTTGTGCTATTTTTCGAAGCTTACACAAACTCATTTGTGGTTGCTCCTGGAAATGGGACTGTGAGGTAAGGCAACGTTATCTTTTTAACATATTTAAATTTTTAAGTAATATTCTTAAATGGATGGCAACATCTCAGTATGTTTGAGGTGTATGTGTTACCTAGCCTTCTCTTTCCTCCTTCTCCCTGAATTTTTCCTTTAAAAATTATGTAACTAACAAATTAATTAATTAATTTGAAATTAGGTAACCATTCACACACACACACACACACACACACACACACACACACACAAAGGAATAAACTCTTGATAGAGCTACAAAATGGATAAATCTTAAAATAATTCTGCTGAGTAAAAGAAGTCAGAAAAAATATTCCATTTACCTAATGTTCTAGAAAATGTTAAATAGTCTCCAGTGACAGAAAACCTGTCAGTGGTTGCCTGGAGTGGGTGGGAAGGTCAGGACCGGAGAGATTATAAAGGGGCATAAGAAAACTTTCAAGGTGACAAATATTTTCACTACCTTGATTGTGCTTATGGTTTCGTAAGTGAATATGGATTTTAAGTTATCAAATTATACACATTCAATACATGCAGTTTAAAAATAAATTTTAAAAATATGTGCAGTTTATTGTTATGTAAATTATACCTCCATAAAACTGTTAAGATAGTAGAAATTATATATTAATAGATTGTTATTATTAGAAATGTTAGACAATATATAGATATATAAACAGTGAAAATTTCCCTGCTCCCAAATTCACGCTTTTCCTCCAAAGACTTACAGTTGCCAGCATGTGAGTATTGTTCTTCATACACTATACTATGCGTTTATAGAAATATTTATACAGAGAGACATATACAGATTTGTGGCATTAAAATCTAGAATCATGAATAGCAGTACTTACTGTTTTGCTTAAGACTCTTACTCTTAACTATCTATATATACTGTCTCAATTATTTCATAAACATATATTACTTTATATATATATTTAAAGCCTTTGTATGTTCTATGACCCATATATATATTTTTAATGTTTATTTATTTATTTTGAGAGAGAGAGAGAAAGAATCACAAGCTAGGGAGGGGCAGAGAGAGAGGGAGAGAGAAAGAATCCCAAGAAGACTTTGTGTTGACATGGGACTTGATCTCACAAACCAGGAGATCATGACCTGAGCCAAAAGCAAGAGTCAGTCACTTAACCAACTGAGCCACCCAGGCACCTCACCAAATTTTATTTATTTATTTATTTATTTATTTATTTATTTTTACATTTATTTATTTTTACATTTATTTATTTTTACATTTATTTATTTTTACATTTATTTATTTTTACATTTATTTATTTTTACATTTATTTATTTTTGAGAGACAGAAAGAGACAGAGCACAAGTGGGGAATGGCCAGAGAGAGAGGGAGACACAGAATCTGAAGCAGGCTCCAGGCTCTGAGCTGTCAGCACACAGCCAGACATGGGGCTTGAACTCACAAACCATGAGATCATGACCTGAGCTGAAGTCGGATGCTTAACCAACTAAGCCACCCAGGTGCCCCTCACCCCACCATATTTTTTAAAATATCTACCCCAGTTGGTTCATTTCACCAGGGAAAGAGAAAAGAATGCAGGTTCGTGCTCAATTCAAAATAGCAAGGCCAGTGAGTTCATCTCATCCCTGGAAGAACCCAGCAATTTATTGACTGATCAGTGCCAGAAACTGTGCTTGGAATGCTTCTGAGCCCAGGCTACCTCCAGGTCTTGAATTTCATTGATTCTATGGCTCCTTCTGATGTCATGGTCAAGAAAGCCCGATCTTAAGGGAACCAAAGAGCTCCCTGTTGGAATTACTGATGCAAGGGGGACTTTGCCTTCCCCAATTGGCTCCTGGGAGGCACTGACTATAATAAGGATTCTTTCTTATATCTGGCCACCACACTCTTATTAGAAAGACCTTTGCATCATTTTCAGATACTGTTAGGATTCTATCAAGCTTATCATTATGCAGTCATAATTAGAAATTAACACAGTTATGGGGCGCCTGGGTGGCTCAGTCGGTTAAGCGTCTGACTTAGCTCAGGTCATGATCTCATGGCTCATGAGTTCAAGCCCCGCGTTGGGTTCTGTGCTGACAGCTCAGAGCCTGGAGCCCGTTTCAAATTCTGTGTCTCCCTCTCTCTGCCCCTCCCCTGCTTGTGCTCTCTCTCGCTCTCTCTCTCGAAAATAAATAAACACTTAAAAAATATTTTTAAAAATATATGGAAGTATACATAAAAAAGCACTTTGACTCTTTTACTCCTCGAAAACTATGCAAAAGCAAAACGTAAAAACTCTGAAAACTCTATTTTCAGCAAAGGGAGAAGATAGAATCCACAGATCCTGAAATATGTGTAAGGGCTAACAAAAGCGCTGAGATCAGACAGAAGCTATAAAGGAAATGGAAAAGAAATTCAAAGAGAAGCAAAGGGACCCAGTGGGGACAGATCTCAGGAATGCAACAGTGAAAACGCTCTTCCTGAAGAGGAAGAGCTCACTTAGAGCTGCTCGGCTCTATTTGTTTTGTTTGCAACAATGGGTGTGGAAACAGTTCAGCAAGACTCAACAAAAGCTCTCCTGAATCTGGTTTGGATCCGGGAAGCCAGGAGGATAAAGATAACAGCAAGAAGCACAGGGATGAGCCATATTTGCAGGAAGCAATTGGTCTATGGCAATGAAACAGAAACGACTGGAAATACACTTGTTGTTGAGGATGTAAAGCAACTGGAAGTTTCATCCACTGCTGGGGGGAGTGGACAGTGATGCAACCGCTTCGGAAAGTTGTTTTGATGGTTTTTTATGAAGTTAAACACATATCCTGTGATCCAGCAATTCCACTCCTAGGTATTGACCCAGGGAGAATAAAAGTGTTTATCCACACCAGGGCCTCGACTAGGGGGAGGCAAGCAAGGTGCCTCAGATGGGACATTTAAAGAGGCACTCGCTTTTAGGATTGTACAGGCGCAGGGTTGGCACTTGCATGAACACAAGAGCGGGTGCCTCCTTAAATTTTGTGACCTAGGCTTCCTGTCTTGCCTCACCCGGGTCCAGGCTGTGGTCCTCACAGACTTGTATTCAAATTTTCACAGCAGATACCTTAATAAAGCTAAATCAGTGACAACCCAAACACTTATCAATAGGTGAATTGGTAAACAAACTGTGGCATATAGAGCAGAAAGGAGCTATTGATACATGCAAAAAATGTGGATGAATCTCATTATGGCTAAGTGGAAGAAGCCATACACACAAAACTGCATACTATATGATTCGGCTTATATAAATGTAAAGAATGGGCAAAACCAAATCTAGTGACAGAAAGCTGAACAATGGTTTCTTGACATGTGTCAAAGAAACGTGGGGATTGGCTGCAAAGGGACACAGCTTTCTGGAGTAATGCTAACATTCTGTATATTGATTGGGATGCTGGTTATGTGGGTTTATTTTTTTACTTATTAAATTAAATACTTATTAAATGCAGAGCTCGATCTCACAAACTGTGAGATCATGACCTGGGCCAAAGTCAGACATTTAACCAACTGAGCCACATGGGCCAGGGGGGTGGGGGGTGGGGGTGGGGAGGGAACCTAAAATACGTTAACCTGATTGTATATAAATTGTACTCCTAAAGGTTCATTTAAAAATTGTAAAGAGATTACAAGACATCTGGGAAAACCTCCAAGACAAAAGAATAACCAAATGCACAAACACATGAAGCCTTTTGGAGGAGACCATGCAAAAAACAAACACGCAGACAAATATCCTCAGAGAGACAAGATGTTGCCATCATGACATAACAACGATAGCAACAACAAAAATACTGCTTTTAAAAAATATTGTTAGGGGAAAAAAACAGCTCTTGGAAATTAAGAATGTAATAACAAAAATGAAGAATCAAATAGAAGAGTAAGAAGATGAAAATAAAGAAGAAATTGGTTCTTTTTCATTAGTGAATATTTATTATATGTGCCAGGCACTGGGCCTAAAACTGGAACACAATAGACAAAAATCCCCGCCCTTGTGAAACATTTTAGGGAGGGAAGAGAACAAAAATAAATAAGTAATATCCATGTCATGTCAGCGGGTGTACCTGCTGTGGAGGAAAATCAGGAAAGTGGGAGAGGGAGTCTAGAGGCAGAGAGGAGGGATTGAAGCCTTTTTAAATAGTCAGGAATATACTACTGAGAGGTGATATCTCCACAAAGTCCTAAAATAGGGGAGGAAACAACCCCTGTGGACTTCTTTGAGAAGAGCATTCTGGGCAGGGGGAATAGCATGTTCTAGGGGCCCAGGAGGGAATGTGCCTAGCCTATTTGAAGAATTAAAAGGTAGTCAGTGTGTGCATGATACTGTATGTAGAAAACCCTAAAAACTCCATCAAAAAGCTATTAGAACTGATAGGTGAATTCAGTAAGGCCTATTCATTCAGACAGGTGAATTCAGTAAGGATACAAAATCAATATGCAGAAATCTGTTACTAATAATGAAGTAGCAGAAAGAGAAGATAAGAAAGCAATCCCATTTACAATTGTGCCAAAAATAATAAAATAGCTGGGAATAAGCTTGACTAAGGAGGTAAAAGAACTCTGACA